TCAATGTACTGTTGCAACTATTTTTGAATTATCTTCAGCAAAATTTTACTTGCATGTGATATTAACCATATTGTTCAATGATTTCTGCATTTTCTTGGGTCACCCCTCTTTGGAATGGGCACAAATGAGTGTCTTCTAAGTGCTTGACCAAGTAGCTATCTTCCAAATTTCCTGGCATAGACAAGTGAGTGCCTTCAGTACTGTATCTTTTTTTTAGACATTTCAATTGGTACTCCATAATTTCTTGAGTCTTGCTTTTCACCAGTGCCTTCAATGCAGCTTCAATTTCTTCCTTCAGTACCATCGGTTCTTATCGTATGCTACCCCTTGAAATGGTTGAACATCGACCCTTCCTTTTTTTTGTACAGTGACTATATACTCCTTCCCGTCTTCTGATCCTTTCTGTATCATTCACTATTTTGCCCATAGATTACTGTAAGCCGAGGCTTGAATTTTTCCTTCAGGTCTTTGAACTTGAGAAATGCTGAGCATGTTCTTCCCTTTTGGGTTTTCTGACTCCCCGTCTGCGTATACAATGCTTGACTTTGTCTTCTCCAGCTACCCTTTGACATTTTCTGTTCAGCAATTTATTTTTTCTGGGAGAAAAGCTTTACTGAGCCCCTCTAGCCCTAGTTCTCTTTCTCCTGCACAGTCTTGGTTCCCCGGAGCTGGCCAGTGCTGTGGCAAGTAGCAATAACACCAGCTTGTCAGGCAGCAGAGGCACCCCAGAGGATGGTGGAGGGCTTCCCGCTGTGTTGGTGCTTGCCACCTCTGAAGGGATGCTCCACAGGGTTCATGATGACCCCGCACATGAGGCCAGCAGTTCCTCTTGGCCTTGTATTTGTGGTAGGCACAACCTATATTCAGGATGGGCTTGTCAGTGTGGCTAACACAGCCATCACATCAACTACAGCTCTCCAGGCTGCGATGACCTTTTTGAAACCCTGAGACAGTTTCACATGGGTCTTCTTGATCTGGGGGCTGTGAGAAATGACTGTGGAGTCATTCCCAGAGGTCCAAGCCAGATTGCACCAGCTCTAGGCTTTTCCTCCAGAGCCACACGATGGTGCCCTCAGGTATGGTCCCCACAGCTGATACTGAGCTGAGCCTTCTAGCCACAGTACACAAATTGACCTGTGTGTATGCCCTCAGCTGCAATGAACAACTCTGTACACTTCTTAAACCAGTGTGGGTCCCAGAAGACCACCTTGGCGATGGGTGCCCCAGGGTCCAGGTTGTGGATGATGTCTTTCATGCAACCTATGAGAAGAGCAGGTCCCTCTGCAAAGTCCATGGCAGGCAATGGCTGGGCACCTTTACAGTGTGTCACATGTACACAGAATACGGAGCCGGCTTCCTTCCTCTGCCCACAGATTACATGGCCCAAGGCAACAGGTCGATTTAGGAGTGAGGCCGAAAGAGATGTTCATGTCTTTTACTTCCTCATTTCTTCCATTTGTTTTAGCTACTCTATGCTCAAAACAAAGTTTCAGAATCTCTTCTGACACTCAGTTTTGCCTTTTTTCCCCCTTTCTTGTTTTTAAAATAGCCTTTTGCTTTTTTTCCTATGTGATGCCATCCCACAACTCTTCCGGTCTTTGGTCATTAGTGTCTAATGCATCAAATCTGTTCTTCGGGTGGTCTCTAAATTCAGGGGGAATATATTCAAGGTCAAATTTGGCTGTTGCAGGCTTGTTTTAATTTTCATCTTCTGGCACTATATCTGACAATGTTACTCAGCTATTCATAAGGTTTCCAATGACTATAACCATTCAGGAACTGCCCCCCTCTCCATCTTCCTAAACTATCTTGGTCTGGAAGTTCCTCTGAAACCTGTCCACCAAGGGTGACCCTACTGGAATTTAAGTGTCAGTGGCATGGCTTCCAGCATCACAGCAACACAAAAGTCACCCCAGTACAACAAACTGATAGACGAGTGGTGATGACCAGTAGGACTCTCAGATTTACTATGTCTACAACAGACTTTCTGACAGCACCGCTCCCAGGCTTCCTCACCTGGGTAATGATTCCCCCTCTGTCCAAACAGAAATTCAATGCTTCTGAAGTGGTTGTTCCCCACTGCCCCTCCCTCAGCTCCTGGTAATGATTAATAAACTTTTGTTTCTATGCTTTTGCCTATTCTTCATAAAAGTGGGATTATACAGTCCTAAATTATTGTCTAATAAATCAGTTAATGTCACTCCCTACTTGGAACCCTGTGATTGTTCCCAAATCCGGGTTCCCTCTGCCTGGTTGCTTTTCTCCACGTGTCACATGCCTTACATCCCTTGTCCTTCAGATCTCAGGGCAAATATCACCTCCTCAAAGAACAGACTTCCTGTCATCCAATCTAAAAGAATCTGTCACTCTGTCCCATCACCCTTTAAAATTTCTCTACACAGTACTAACAATTATCTGTTATTTCAGTGAACTTTCATTGGGTTCTAGAGAGCAAGGATTTTGTACTCCTATATCTGCAGTGCCCAGAATACATTGGCACTCAATAGGTGTTCAGTAGATGAATGAATAATAGGGCATATTCCCTAGGACTCCCACCCTAGGACAAGACAGATCTGAGCTCTATCATAGATTGAACTGTGTTCCCCGCAAATACTTATCAACTTGGCTGTATCATAATTCTCAGTGGTTTGATAGTGATGTAATGTGGTAGTTATGTGATAGTTCCCCATGAGGTGATCTGATGTGATAAACCAATAAATGTTAAGAGGGATAAGCACTGGACTGCTAACCACAAGGTTGGCAGTTCAAACCCACCAGGAGAAAGATGAGGCTTTCTGCTCCTGTAAAGATATACAGCTTCAGAAACCCTGTGCAGGGTCACTATGAGTTGGAATTAATTTGATGGCAGTGGGGTTTTTGGGTAATATCCTTAATCCAATCATAACCATGATCCAATGGAAGGGAGCTTCCCAGAGGCCTGCAACATCTTTTATTTTACAAGAGATAAAAGAAGAGAGAGAAGAGAGCAGAGAGAGAGAGACACCTACTACCATCAAGACAGAAGAGCCAGGAGTGGAACCAGTCCTTTGAATTGAGGTCCCTGCACTGTGAAGCTCCCAGATCCAGGGGAAGATTGCTGTCAAGGCACATGGAGATCTCCCAGGAATAATGGGCCTATAGATGCCGAAAGGAGACAAGGACCTTTCTCCCAAGTCTATGCTCTGAATTCAGACTCTTAGCCTCCTGAACAGTGAGAGTAAATTTCTGTTTGTGAAAGCAGAAATTTCTACTAAAGGCACTTCTATACCAGTAGCACTAGCTAACTAAGACAGGCTCTGAGCAGGCCTTTATAGTGAGCAGAGCTCAGCAGTAGAAGTCTCATGGCAAACCTTTTCTGGGCTCGTATCTCCCATTGCACATCCTGTGATAAGCCAGCTCCACTTGTTCAAGGTGCTGATCATCACAGGTGTGGCTTATGGCTTTCCTCAGTTTTGATAGCTGAGGGGACAAAGCCACAGCTCCAACTGCCTGGGGACCTGGGATCCAGGCCTGGACCTTCCTACTAGGTGATGGTCCCTTTCTAGAGACAGCCACCCTCTGGCCCTCAACTCAAGCTGGGTCTATCTTACGTTCCTTGTGCTGCTAAAACAGAAATACATCAAATGAGAGCTTTAATGAACAAAAACGGATTTCTCACAGTCCTGGAGGCTAGAAGTTCAAGCCAGGATTCTTTCCTTGTTGAATCCTTGGCGATCGTCACGTGGCATCTTCCATCCCTGTGTGTGTGTATGTGTATCTACTTCCTAACAGGACTACATCCAAAAAGATAGGGGCTAAGATGCCAACACATATATAGAGGAGGGACACAATTTAGTCTATAACAGAGCCACAATACCTAGGATCCAAAACAAGAGTGTCAGCCCAAGCCCTGTGAGGCCCCCATCCCCACTCCTCCTCCCCCACATTCCTATCACCCATTCTGGTCACAGGACACTTCCTTGACAACCTTTGACATCAACAGACCTGATGCATGCTGGCTGCTTTAGTTCCCCACAAACCCAGTTCCCCTCCCTGGGTTTGCAGGTCAGCCCCTGGTATAGGGCTATCTGTGGGTTCCAGTGCTGCAGACTCTCAGGGACCCTTGCTCTGTCTCTCATTGAGCCCAGACACTATGTCCTTCAAGTTAAGAGTGGGGCTGGGTTAGAATCCTGCTCTTCAATTCTCACTTCCAAATCCTTTCCTGCAAAGCCCTATGTAAGGGAGAATCCATGAGAGGCAGAGATTAGTGTAAAGCGGCGCTCCCTGGCCTGCTCTCAGGCAACAAGATAATCTTATGTTATTTTCCTTAACCTGGCCCTTACTTCTCACCTGGCCCATCTATTTGCCCCTTTCCTATTAGTTTTCCTGCCACCACCCCCTCACCTCCTTACCTGCAGCTTCCCTTCACCACCCTGCTATGACTTCATCCCCTTCTCTCCTTTAGTCCTCTCCTGACACTCTTCCACCTGGTGGCCATCTGATCACTTCATGAGGCAGAAGGGAAGGCTGCCTAGGGTCTCTTACCAGCTGGCAGATCTCCCAGGGGAAGGGACTCCTTCCTGTACATATGCCCACCCACAGTTTCCCATTCTGACTCCCCTGTGGTAGGGCTAGCTCAGACATCCCAAGTAGTAAGGGCTTGGAGGCTTCAATGTGCACAGACTGGGCTTGGAGGGACATTAGGAGTAAAAAGCCCAAGAGACGTCCAAGGGGGATGTATCTCTTGCCACAGTCCTCGCTCTCTTCCCCAGACCCAGCTTGCTGCTGTGGCCTCTCTGCTCCTCCTGTGGACACAGACCTTCTGCTGACCGGCTGTCTGCCTCTGGTAGCTCACACTCAGGCATGGCCTATCAGGTGTATGCACTCTGAGAGCCAGAGCATTGACTCCCAGATTTGAGAAGGCAGCGGTGTGGAGAAGTGGTGTAGGGTCAGAGGAAGCTGGTCGGGGAGGCTGCTGATTGCTGGCCAGTGCCCTGACCGGTCCCCTAAGGCAGGATTCTCTAATACAGCACGTCCTCAAAGTCCAGCTGTAAGTAGCGAAGTAGGCGGGGTGGCAGGGGCAGGCGGGACAGGGCGTGGGGCAGGTGGTCAGCCAGGTGGGCACGCAGCGCACAGCGGCTCAGGTGCTGTAGGGATCTCGGCTGTCTCGCCAGGGCAAAGAGCGACGAGTAGAAATGGTAGTGCTCCTGGGAACAGAGAGTCAGTGGGCACCCTCTTCTGAATGTGTCGGGCTTTCTTTCAGTGGGACGTGAGTGGTTTCTATCTGGGTGACTGCTGGGCAGTGGGGGTGGGGGGGTGGGGTTCCCTGTAGGAGGGGGTGTCTCTTAGTGTTGTCTGAGTGTTCTGAGTTAAGGGATCAGCGGTCTCCTAGAACAATGCTGGACTGACCTGCAGCATTTCCGGTGGAACCAGGTCCCCAGCCTCCTCAGGAAGCTGCACAACGCAATACGTGTTCATCAGCACCTCGATGGTCCGAGGGGACGTGCACCAGCGTGCCAGCACCTGCATGGGAGAACTGTGTCAGCCTGACGCTCCTTCTTCGGTACTGCAAGCTAGACACGCCAGATACTTGTCTTAGCAATTCACACGCATTAGCCCTTTCATTCTCATCCCTACAGGGTTGTTGTTAAGTGCCACCGAGTCAGTTCCGACTCATAGCAACCCTGTATAAGGTTTCTGAGGAGCAGCAGCTGGTGAACTTGAACCACCGACCTTGCAGTTCGGCGTATTAACCCACAGTGCCACACCAGGACTCCCTCCCTATAGGGTAGGAACTGTTCCAGTTATACATACCCATTTTAGAGATAAGGGAGGCATAGGAATCTGACCCTGTAGTTCCAACCACTAAGGCGAACAGTGAGGCTCCTTCTCTCAGTGACTGCAGGGCCCAGCTCTGCTGCCAGCCTGTAGCAACCCTGTGCTTGTCTGTGACTCTGGATACTGAACAGATGGGAAGACATAGTCTCCACAGAGCAGAGTTTGCCGATGCTGAGTGTCAAGAGACTGAACTGTATCCCCCAAATACGTGTCAACTTGGTTGGGTAATGATTCTCAGTGGTTTGGCACAACTCTGATGACGCCCCATGATGTGATCTGATTTGATGGCCCAATAAGAGGAGTAAGGGTGGGCTACATACAGTACCCTCAATTCCAGTACAATGCTGGTCAGATATAAGGGAGCTTCCCAGGAGTATGGCCTACAACGTTTTTCTCTTACAAGAGGATCAAAGAAGAAAGGGGAACAGAGACAGAGGGACCCACTACCACTCAGAATGAGTCAGGAGTAGGAAGCATCTTTTGGAGTGGGGTCCCACCCTGTGAAACTCCTAGATCCAGGGGAAGATTGATGCCAAGCTGTATGGAGATCTCCAAAGATGCTGAAAGTAGACAAGGACCTTTCCCCAAAGGCAAGATCTAAATGTGGACCTCTAGCCTCCATAACTGAGAGAGAAATTCTGTTTGTTAAAGCCAGCCCCCTATGGTACTGGTGTTACAGCAGCACTAAGTGACTAAGACACCAAGTGTGTGGAGAGAGCTAGAGTAGGGGTGCACAGGAAGTGCGTGGAGAGAGCTAGAGTAGGGGTGCACAGGAAGTGCATGGAGAGAGCTAGAGTGGGGGTGCACAGGAAGTAAGTGGAGAGAGCTAGAGTAGGGGTACACAGAAGGAGGAGGAGGATTCACAGAGGTGGGGCAGGCCTGTGAGGGTTAGCAGAAGTCAGACACAGGAAGAAAGACACGACAGCCAAAGGCCAAAGTAGGATGCACCTTGGATAAAACACTTCATTGCAAGGTCGGTTTGAACCACAAAGTCAGCAGGTTGGCAGTTCAAACTCACCAGCTGCTCCTTGGAAACCCTATAAAGGGGCACTATGAATCAGCACTTAACAACAGAAGGGCCTGATGGGAGTAATGCTGGGGTGGGGTGGGATGGGGTGGGGCAGGCTCTTTCTGTCATTCAACAAACATTGGCTGAAAGTGTGTGTGTCAAGTGCTAGGGAGCTGAGTGAGTGTGATTGGTCTGGTCAACCTAGAGCAGAGGCCTGGATACCGGGGCCTGGGATGGGAGCTATGCTGCATGACAGCTCTAAAAGGGCAGCTAAGCAGGGCCTGGCCTAAGCATGTGCCATCAGCCCTGCATGTAATCCCTGTGCTTCTTTACCTACACTGCTCAAACTACAAACAGTGGCCTCAGAACCTTTTAAAACCGGAGACAAGCTGTGCACACCCCTAAACAGCATTCTTACACTTAACCACATGCACAACTTATACAGGTTTCAAAATCTGCCTGGAAAGGCCTCATGGGCTAGAAGCTGGTGGAGAGTAGTAAAGGGGTCAGGCCTCATCCAAAAAATGGTGGGAAAGCGTTTCACATGCCTGAGGCCCTGGAATTCCTGCCCTGCCTCTGGGGCAGAGTTTGCCTGAGCTGTCCCCTTCTCCTCTGTGGCCACTGTTTGTGGCCACCCTTTGAAGAGAGTTTGTTGGACAAGTCTTTTCCCTCCATCTTCCTCAGAATTGGGAAGGTCCAGGCTGCAGCATTTATTCTGAGGTCAGACCAACCTTTGTTTTTCCTAAGTAGCTGGTAGACTTTGGTCTCCGCACTTGGTCCACAGTGCTCACCCTACATAGGATGCCTGCTCCCTTCCCTTCCAAGTCCCTCCTCCTCCAGGAAGCCCTCAATAGCATTTCCAGTCAGTATCACTCTCTCCTGTGCCCAGTGAGACCCTGTGTTCAGATAACACTTAGAAGCATGTTACTTAACTTCAGAACAATAGTAACTCACATGTGTTGAGCACTATGAGTTAGGACTGTCCCACTTGTGGGCTCTGTAAAGGGTAACTCCCATCATTCTCACACAGACCCTCTGAGGCAGACATGCTGTTATCGCTGATTTACCAAGGGGACACTGAAGCCCAGAGAGAACAGAGACTTGCCCGGAGGTCACAGGGCTAATATGATTAAGCTACTGCCAGCCTTGTGCGGGCAGGCCAGCTGGTCATGCCAACTCAGTGCTCTCAACAACCGCCTTATCAGTCTTATTATTAGGTACACATTGTGTCACATGCCAGTGACCTGGTACTCAAAGAATTCTAGTGATTCGCCCAGAGTTGTACCACCTGGACCCAGGTCTACGGAACTTCCCAAGGAATGATGGTGGTGTTTTGGTCACCGGCAGTTGGTGGAAGCCTCTGGGCCCTCTCTGGGAGGGCTACTGACCAGGAACTGGGTGGGAGTGCCTGCTGCATTTTCTGATCACCTGGGCTGGGGCTGGGGCAGTGCACTGGGTGGGCAGGCGGGGCTTAGGGCCCTTGTGGGAGGTCTGCAAGGCGCCTTTACTGCACTGCCTTTGCCTCACGCCCCGCCCCGTGGAGAAATCATTAGCTGTCAGAGCCTTCATCAGATTACAGGGAATTGCTCCTCTCCTAATTATCTGGTGTTAATAGGAGATTAATTAGTGTTAATTGTTGATTTTCTTGTATTTTCCCAAAGGGGAGACCAATCTGCCGAACTCTTGGGCTGTTTAATTATTTGGTCTTGCCTACCAATAAGACAGATGCTTCTGTCTGTGAGTAAAGGGACACCTGCCACACCTAGTGTTCCTCCTGCCCCATAGCCCAGAAGCCTGCTGGGCTGTCATATCACAGTCCTCCTCCGGGACAGCAACAACCTCCACAGAACAGCCCTGCCTCCACTCCAGGAAAGCACTTAACAAGGGCCTGCGAAGCAGCATACTGAGGACTTCAAGTCGACTGGACTCAGGAAAATCAAGTGAAATAATATCGAGATTGAAGATGAGCTTGGAAAGGCCTTTGCCCAGGTGCCAGGCAGCTGGGCTGTGACATGTGAGTCCTACCTGCACCTGTCTGCAGAGGTTCGGGACCCTGAATCTTGTGCCTAGTATATCACGCTTGCCCTGAGGGTACTTCTATGTCCAGAGTGTCCCTCACTTAACTGACCCTATTGTGAGCCAGAAGAACACTGTTCCATCTCCTCATGCTTCCATGAAGACCTTAAACAGCTGCCCACTGACCATCTTAGTCTCAATTCCTCCTTTCATCTCTACATATCTTTTATGACCTGCGCTTACTGCCCTCCACCCACCATCCTGCCTAACACACCACACACACACACACACACACACACACACACACACACTCCCTTATCTTTTTTCATACACACGTGTACCTCCTGTGTGTTTGGACACTCACTCGGCTTTGCCCCACATTTGGGCTCTGCTTATTTGTTGAATTAAAGAGAATGCCCACATGTCCTGGACCACAAGCCAAAGCCAACAGGTGCATAGGTCTGTGCCCTTTGGTCCCTGCAACATCCAAGACCACCCCTCTGCCCCACAGCCCCGTACCTTGGGGAGAGCCCCAGGCCAGATCCGGACAGCCCCGTGGTTGAGCAGGGCCCGTACCACACACTCTGGGCTCTGGGCCAGGGCCATGGCTGGGCCCTGCAGGGCATAGTGCAGGGCTGTATGTCCCCCATAGTCCATGGCGTTGGCACTGACACCACAGGACAGGAGCAACTCTACGACAGCAGTGTGACCATGGCGACAGGCCAAGTGCAGGGGCCGCCGGCTGTCCTTGTCAGCAGCATCCGCATCAGCACCAGCAGAGAGCAGCAGGTGGCACAGCTGGAAACAGCGGGTGGCAGTGGCCTCAGCATTGTCTGCGTCCAGGCAGTGGGCCTCACAGGTGGCCAGCAAGGGTGTTCGTCCCTCAGCATCCCGGGCATTGGGGCATGCCCCCCGTCTTAGAAGTAGCTCCACCAGTGCAAGGTGGCCAAGTTGGGCAGCCACGTGTAAAGGAGTCTCCTCTTCTTCCTCAGACCGGCCATCCACTTTTGCCCCAAACCTCAGGAGCAGCTCTGCACACCTAGTACGGGCGAGATGATAGTGAGGAGAAACCCAGGCAAGAAGCCTTCCCCAGCACTTTCAGTATGCAGTATGTACAGACCATGCAAAGAATCAAGGGAGCCGCCCGGGCTCCTTCACTAACCATCTATGTATCTCAGCAACACCCGAGATACTACAGTGCAAACCCTCACTACGTTCTCCATGGCAATGGACGTAACCAACAGTTACTATGCAATTTGAACAGGAACACCAAGTTACATGAGTTACTCAGTGCTCATCGCATGCCAGTTCTTTTTTCACCTGCATTTCACTGATGTGAAAACTGGGCGCTCCCTTTTGACAGTGAGGTTCTCTCCCACCTCTCCCAACCAGAAAGTGGAGAAGCTAGGGCATTTAAGACCAGGGCAGCAAGCATGGGGGGTGAGGGGAGGGAGAAGGGGACTGAGGATATGCAAGACCAGACAAGAGTACAAATGGAAGTGAAGCAGTGGGGCAAAGTGCAAAACTAAAATTTACTCATCAGTTTTGCTCCAGGATGTACCCCCTGGATGACTGTATATGAGGAGACTTCAAAAAGTTTGTGGAAAAAATCCCAGTATCTTTTCATTCTATTTCTCCACAAACTTTTAAAGGCCCCTCGTATGCCCATAGAGGTAGTGGAAGTCCAAGTCACTTGTGAACCACAATTAAAGGTAATGGAACGTAGCCTCTTTGAGCTTCAATTTCCTCATTTAATGGGAATTGTTGTTGTGAAGTGCTGTCGAGTCAGTTCTAACCCATAGCAACCCTGTATAGGGTTTCCAAGGAGCAGCTGGTGAGCTTGAACCACCGAAATTGCAGTTCAAATGGCTTTATAGTCTGGCACATTAACCCACAGTGCCACACCAGGACTCTATCTAGTGGGAATAATTAATAACAATTATACCTTATGAGGAGTCCCTAGGTGGCACAAATGGTTCAGCATTTGACTATTAACCAAAAGGTTGTTGGTTTGTATCTACTCAGGCAACTTGGAAGAAAGAACTGGTGAACTGCTTTCTAACAATCACAATCATTGGAAACCCTACGAAGACCAGTTCTACTCTGTACATCTGGGGTTGCTATGAATTGTAATAAACTCCACGTCAATTGGTACTAGGTAAGCATTCTGAGGTTGCTGGACGCAGCATATGAGACAATGCCTAAACACCTGTTTTCACAGTGGTGGCATGCAGAGCGCTCAAATGGCAACATTTGGGGATATGGGTGGTAATGGATCACAGGACTCCTTATAGTTTTCTAGAGGTTTGAAAATTTCCACAATTATTGTTAAATTTTGTTTATTTAAAGAAAGGAAATAATTATTAACATCAGATGTGATGTCAAGGAGACAGGCTGGGATATGGCCAGAAGTAAACGTGTGATCCCAAACTGATGTCTGATACAGTAGCCACAGGCCTGGGGTGTGTACTGAGCATGTGCAGTGGGGCCCATTCCAGTTAAGAGGTGCTGTATGCGTAAAGCACACATCAATTTTGAAACTGGAGGATAAGCACTAGACTGGTAACCAGAAGACTGGCAGTTCAAACTCACTAGCTGCTCCTTGGAAACCCTATACAGGGTCACTGTCAGAACTGACTTAATGGCACTTAACAACAACAACAATACCAAAAAATAACATGGCATAGCTTAGTCTTAATTTAAAAAATTGATTATATGTTGCAATTATAACATTTGGGCAACTATTGTGTCAAGTATATTATTTAAATTAACACCACATGTTTCTTTTCAAAATTTTATGGGGCTGCTAGAAAATTTTTACTTATCTAGTTCACCTGTCCATTGGACCATGGTGCTACAGATGTGTCTTCAGTTGTGATATGATTAGGTGGATGGAGAGTCTCTTCTGAGGGTCAATGAGGTTAACAGGAGGAAGGTACACAAAATGAGAACCCTAGGATCAAAAATTTGGCGCCGCTCCATGGCAAGATGGGAAGTCTTACAGGTATGCACTAAGTAAAGAGGGGCCTCAGTTGTAGGCAGTTAGTTCAGGAAAGATTTGCAAAGGCACCCTTTGCCTCAACCAAAATAGTTATGAGGACTCATCAGCCCATATGTCCTGTACATAGTTGACAATTATTGGGCCGCTGCAAAGGAAAGTTCCCTACAAATAAACAAATGCTAACTTGAGTATATTCATGTGTGTGGCGGTGCTGTGGGTTAATACGCCAGACTGCAAGCAAGGTATGCAGTTCAAGCTCACCAGCGGCTCCTCAGAAACCCTATACAGGGTCGCTGTGGGTAGGAACCGACTCAACAGCACTGAACACCACAACATCTGTCTCATGTGAGTTTGTTAGTGGCAGTCGTTTGAGCCCATTCATCTGAGGGTGTCTAACTAACATGGGAATACCAGACCTTGAGCATGCGGGCTCCAGTTACCCTCCTCAGCCAGCAGCCTGTCTAGGTACCTGATGGCAGGGCTGCGAATCAGTTGCTGTTGAACTACTGTGCTTAGTTTATAGGATAGTTCAGAAAATATTAAAGCTTGACAGTGGCACCATCTCCCCATAAAAACTTCGGACAACAGCCCCAAAACCAAACAAGGAACTTCTCCATCCCAGGAGCCAGTGAATAGTCCCCAAGGCCAGAGTAATCGAATCCTGATCCCAAGCTGGAGCCCCCATACCTCCACCGCAGCCCACTAGGCCGGCTCTCCTATCTTCCCTGGGGCACATGGTTGACTGAGGGCTCACTCACTCAAGGGTGCCGGATCCCCTGCAGAGGTGCAAGGGCCGTTTTCCGTCCTGGTCAGGGAGGTCGGGGTCAGCTCCTGCTACCAGCAGTAAGTGGACACAGGGAGCGTGGCCGGCTGAGCAGGCCTCATGCAGCGCGGTGCGACCACCAGGGGCGCTGTCAGGCCGGGCCCTCCGACGCAACAGCAGCCGCAGCACGTCCACGTGGCCCCGGGCGGCTGCCACGTGCAAAGGGGTGGTGAGCTCCTCCTGGTAAGTCAGAGACCAGAGTCCTGCGGGGAAGGCCAGGGCGTCATGCAAATGGTGATGCCCACAGAAGCACCCAGAGCCCCATGCCCACCAACAGCTCGCCCACCCGGCTTGCCATACTCAGAGCGCGGATGTTGTAGCGGAAATCCTTCCATCTTTCTGGATCGCTGGTATCAAAGACGGAGTCAGGAGCCAAGCCTGTGCTGCCATCCGCGAGGATGCGAGCGACTGAGCCCACGTCCCCGGCAAGCACTGCCTGCCAAAAGGCGAGGGCAGGTCCAGAAGCTGTGCGGGTGACGATTGGACCCTGGCCACCCTCCTGACCGTCTGCGGGCCCTGTGCTGGGCCTCTCCACCAGCCTGGCACAGAGGGCATGCCTGTCACAGGGGGACCCTCTCTGATCCCTGCTCTCTCCGGGGGACAAGCTCATGAGGGCAGAGTGGGAGACTGTGTGAAGGGAAGGAAGGAGAAAGAAGGGGCCTGCAGACTTGTGGCCTGGCCACTGCCTGACTGGGTCACGTGGCAGGCAGGAGCTATTCTGGGCTCCGCATGACTTCCCTCGTGGGCCAAGGACCTGCGGCTGCTGGACCAGTCTCAAGGCAGAGAACCACCCGCTCTCTGTCTTCCCAAGCTTTTGATACCTTTGCACCAAGGCGGCCCCCCAGCTCCTGGGCCCCAGGCAGACCCTCACCAGGATGGTGGCTGCTCCAACGGGGCTCCGCGGCCCGACTCTCCAGCAGCAGGTCGGCTGTGCTGTGGGGCGGGAACAACTCCTGCAGCCTCGTTAGGTCCCCGGTGTAGACAGCGTTCTGTAGGCTCATGTCACGGCACAGAAGCGGCAACAACCTAGCACGGTCCCGGGAGGGACCCGACTGGGGACCGCAGTCCTGGTGTGCAGGGGCCAAGGGACGGCTCCCAGGACTCCGTCCCCCATACATGGCTAGTTTCTGGGAGAGAGGGGCAAAGGAGAGGACTCAGGCAATGCCCGGGTCACTGCTCTGGGCAGCGGGGAGCTGGGCGCGGCCTGGGAGGAGCGGGCAGTGCCAGAAAGCCAGAACAGGCGGGACAGTCACAGCCCAGAGCCAAGGAGAGAAGTGGGAATTCGGGAGGGGCGGGAAAACAAGAGCCGTCCAATCCCCACCCCACCCCCACCCACCCCGCAGAATTCCACTATGTCAGATCAGGGTGGGAAGGGGCCACACAGGCCATGCTGCCCTATCCCGTTTCACAAAGAATAAAGCCCCCAGAAGGGAGTGGTTTGCCAGAGACTTCATGGGTCGTGTGTTAACAGCGCCAGAATCAGAACCTAGGACCTCAGGCTCCTTTTCCTAGGTTCTTGCTCCTCTGTGCTGCTGGGCCTCCAGGTAAGCAGGAAATGTGAGGCCAGATTGGCTGGTCTGTTCTTCCAATGTCATCCACCAGTACCTCCCACTCCTATACCTAAGGTCCACAGTGATGGATCCTCAAGCTCCTCATCCCCCAGACACAGACTTCCACCCAAAGAAAGGAAGCCCTGTACAGGGTCGCTATGCATCAGAACCCACCCAACAGAACTTAGCAACAATGGGCAGGGCAGGAATACAAGCAGCAAGGCAATTCTCAGCTGGTACTTATCTCCCTACACGGAGCTCTGGTCTCCCCAACAGATCTGTTCAACTGGTGTGTCTTATCACATTAAGATACGGAGATTACTATCATTTGAAGGGATAAGAAAAATAAGAATAGAAGAAAGAAACAACCCCTATGGGCTCAGCCCTGTGGCCCACAGTTGCCCTCGGCTCTGGGGCTGCTCCAGTTCTGGGAGTCATACTGGCGTTCTCATTGGCTCCTACAACCTGAGGAGTACTAACCCTTCACTTTGACCTGCCCTCTTTCATGTTGGCCTGTGGAAAACTTGGGTCCATCTTTGTCTCCTGTTCTCCTCAGTCCCTACTCGAGCCCTGCGCTGTTCTCTCTCTGCAAAGGGAGGAACCATGGGCTTTCCCCCTAGAGCAGGAGGCTATACTCCAGCCAGCTCTATGAGGGGTGGGCTATAGGTTGGAGTAAGGGGCACAGAGGGTGGGTAGATAGGGTATGAGGGGAGGGGTCGTCAAAGGAGAGAGGTGAAGACCATCCATTTGCCTCCACACTCTTGCTGTAGCCCTTTCTCTCTAGAACCATCTTTGTCACCATCCCACCCCACCACTGCCCAAGAGCATTCACCTATCTGACTTCCAAGACACTTTTGTTAGAGCAACTGAACCTTAGAGTAAAGGAATCCTGGAGATTGGCTAGTCCCACCTCTCTTCATTTCACAGATAGGAAACTGAAGCCCAGAGACAAGAAAGGATGGTCCAAGGTCTGGGGTGTTGCCAAATGGGGCTAGCACCCCACTTGGCTACTTTCAGCCTGGCTTTTTTTTTTTTCCCTATTTGGTGATTGATCTGTTTCCCCTTTTCTCTTTTTTTCTCTCACTCTTCCTACTCTCTCTTCCTAAGATCTCTCCAGGTACTCCTCTAGGAGGAAGGGAGCTAGGGGCCAGGACAGGAAAATGCCAAGGAAATGAGGACACAGGGGTGGTATGGGGGGGACAGGAGCCAGGACAAGAGGAAGGTATATGGTGAGAGTTGGTACCAGGTACAGACAGGAGGGAAGCCATGGAGCTGGACAAAAGAAGAGTGCAGTCCCCAAAGCCACATGGACATTTATACCTCTACCCACTGGCCCCTTTGCCCTGTGTGTTTCCCCCGCTGCCCAGCACCCCTCCCCACCAACTCAGCTTGGGCCTGCTTAGCCTGGCCATCACTGCTTTTTCTTTTTATCTTTTGTCATCCTGGACTCCTCAGTTTCCATCTGCTCCTTGTTAAACTTCATTCTCTTCTTGCCTAGTGGAGTCTTGAAGTACCAGTCCTTGGAAAGAAAAGGAGTAAGGAGATCTGACCCTCAGTTCTGTCTCCTGATGTCACCCTTTCCCTTATTATGGGACTTTGTGTTTTCAACAGCCTTACTTCCTCTCTTCCCAAGATTCCCTTGCTCCCCACCAAGGCATGTACTCCCACATCCTGCTTCATACCATACTCCCTCCTTTCACCCTGTCATCTCTTAAGAGTCTTGGGGAATGAAACTAGCTTGGGGCCAAGCAGATGGAGGCTTCTCCTGTACCATGGGCCCCTCCCAGGCTTCCTTCTCAGGGAAAACCAGGTGAGACGATGTTTCTGCCCATCCCCTGATCTTTTGCCCTTCTATCTGGTGCTCTGGTAGCGTAGTGGTTACAAATCGGGCTGAGAACCGCAGTTTGAAACTACCAGCTGTTCCGCAGGAGAAAGATGAGGCTTTCTGCTCCCGTAAAGATTTACAGCCTCAGAAATCCTGTACATCGTCACTATGAGTTGGAACCGACTCCATGGCACATAACCACCACCACTGGTGATTCCTTGTTCTTTCTAAGCAGAATGCCACATTCATTTTAATCTGCCACCTGGTCCTTTGGGGGAGCAAGGAGAGGAATCCGAGGTGTTCTGTTGGACTGACTTAGGAAGATGTGTCCCCTGGCTGGGCTGCTGCCCCCCACACCCCACCCCTACAGTATCACCTTCAGGGATTCCTCCTCCTCTTTGTAAACAGGATCCAGCTTTGCCAAGTGCCCTAGAAACTCAGAGGCCACTAGGGGCCGCCTGGATAGTTGTAGGAGCCTCCGTTCAGTCAGCACTGATTGGGTGGCTTGGAGGATGTGGCCGGGTGTGTAGCCATCTGATATCTTGGCCAGGGAACTGATGTCCAGGCTCTGGGTCACCTGGACTCCCCGGGTCTCTATCATATGCTTCCAGAGCACTGCAAGCAAGGGGAGGACATGGGCATGGGGGGCACAGGAGGCACCCGCAGAATGGGCATCAAGGCCTCAAGCCTTACCGAATCTGGAGGCATAGTCAGGCCGGGGCATGAGGAGGATACGCTCATAGGTCCGACAGAGCCCCTTCATCTCAGCCAGTTGTGGCCGAGCTGTGGTTCCAATCAGCAGTACCCGGTCTCCAGGGTTCAACAGGCGCAGTGCCTTAGTGAGGTCCTTCTTTATTCTTTTGGGGTCCATCTGCTCCAGGGAGGGAAGCAGATGTGGGCATGTCAGTTGGATGTCAGAGGGTTTTCTAGAGCCTATGGTACACGCACAGTGACCAGCCGGCAGGGCTTCCGAGTGCTCAGGGCAACCCCCACCCTGTCTGACTGAACCTCCCACTGGTCTGAGGGACTAAAGAGCAAAGGCCTGTTATCCTGCTACAGGGTCAAGGAAATGAGGCAGCAGAGGCAGGACATATGCCCATGGTCACTGCGGGGTATGATTCAAATGACTACAAAGCCCCAGCTCCCAGCCCTCGCCCCATGTCACTGGCACCCCTTACCTCCCTCTCCTCTTTGGGGACCTTCTTATAGAAAGTCTTCTCGGCTCCCCCAATCCAGATCACAGAGGGCTGCAGGAGCCGAGCCACCTGGCCAGGCCGAGGATAGAAGGTGGGTGTCAGAGGCTCCTGGAAAAGGACAGGGCCCCTACCTGGCAAGCCCAGGGTCAGGTAGGCTTCACTGTGCCCACCTGAGCCCCAACCCCCTTCCCAGCATCCTACCACCTGGACCAGTTCATCACACCTCGGTGGGGAGAGTCTGAGGTTCCTCTCTGGGACAGAAAGGGACCAGGTGTCTAAAAGCTCATAGCAAGGGTTAGTAGGGAGACCTCCCAGTTCCTCAAATCACTCCATGGGCAGGTGACCTCCCTTCAGCATAAAGCCCCCATAGCTATATTGTCACAGACTGAGAAGGAGAGCTGGGAGGGTCGGGACCAACCTTGAAGACCATGTGCACGACCATCTGCACACCAGACCTGCCAGGGTATTTGCCCTGCAGGTTGCTAGGGGACAGGTCAAAGAGATTGGCACCAGTTTCTGTGCACACAGCCTTAACCAGCATCTTCTTGCCCATGCCTGGGGGGCCTACTAGGAGGATGGAGCGGATGAGAGGGGCCATGGCATGTATATCTGGGGAGCCTGCAAGGAAGGAAACAGGGGCTGGGCCAGAGGTACACGAGGCTCCCCCATTGCCTGAGCAGGTCCCCATGTGCACGCTGTGGTCAGCAGCCTGTAGGGCTCTATTTGAAGGGCTCTATTTGATATTGAGGAGTCCTGGTGTGGCGCTGTGGGTTAATGCGCCAGACTGCAAAGCTGTTTGAACTGCAAGGTCGGTGGTTCAAGCTCACCAGCTACTCCTCAGAAACCCTATACAGGGTCTCTATGGGTCAGAACCGACTCAACAGCACTCAACAACAACAATAACATTTGATATTGAAGGAGCTCTGGTTAGTTAAGTGCTCAGCTGCTAACTAAAAAGTTGACAATTGGAACAAATTAGCCACTCTCCACAGTAGAAAGATGAGGCTTTGTTTCTGCCCCTGTGGGGCAGTTCTACTCTATCCTACAGCAATGCTATGAGTCAGAATTGACCCAACAGCAATAGTCTTGTGTGTGTGTGTGTGTGTTGGTCCCTGCGCTCTTTCTGATTTCCATTAATACCTATACTCCTGGCTTATGAAGCGGTGGAATTTAAAGGCATATGACAAACTAGCCTCGGAGAGATCCTGGTCTCTGGTATTCAGTAGCGTGTGACTGATCTTCCCAGGAAAGGGACAGACGTGGATTGGCTAAGGAGCTGGGAATGTGGACTCTTCAGCAGGTCACGAACTTCTGGGGCTGTTCCTCTAGATGTGACCTCCTACAGGCAGATGGCGCCTGGGGGTGGGGCATGTCCCCCTCTCAGCTCAGCTGCCATGAACACAGGCCCTGAAAGCCCCTGCCCAGTTCAGGGTCTTCATCCCTCAGGAGGTTCTCACCGAGCCTGAGGATCCCGTACAAGGCAATGTTCTGACGAATATCAAACAAGGAGGGCATGGGCAACTTGTTTGCCACATTCAGAGTGGATCCGAGATACAGGCAGTCACCTGAGAGCGCAAGCAGTGTGATCACTCATTTCGGCAACTGGAGACCCTCACACAAGGAACCAGGCCACATCTAGAAAATGGCTGTCAGCAGGGGAAGAGTGTAGTCCAGGGCCAGCTGCCCCTCAGCTCAGAGCAGACGTGGGGGGGAAGGGTGGTCTCACCAACATAGTCCTTCAGTGCCACGGTCTCACTCTTCTTCAGAAGGCCATGAATGACAAGCTCTTCATACAGTGAGTCCAGAGACCTGCAGAGAGTGGGTGGCAGGGTCCAGAAGTGGGGACTTGTAGAGGGAATGAAAAGAGGAGGAGGAGGATGGTATTCTCGCCAACATCCTATGGTCAAACTACAGCCAGCATCAAAGGCACAAGGGAGAAGCCAAGGCACTGTCCCATGACCATACTCTTGACAAAGGAGAAGCCAAGTCACTGTCCCATGACCGTACTCTGTTAACCAACAGGGGGGCAGGAAAGACCAGTGCCCTGTGTGGACTGCCCACTTCCCACTAGGAGAAGACCATCCATTTGGATTAAGCATTGTTCTCTTCCTAGAAATGACATTTAAGATGTAAGTCTTCCTGAGAGGGTGGTTCATTAAATAGCATGAATATATGCTTATGACCTCAGTCTCCCAGGCAGAGGGTACAGAGAAGTGAGTGGAAAGGGACAACAGGCAAGCCCCAGATGGGGGTGGGGTATGGGGTGGGGGGGGTGGCAAAGGTGGGAGGGAGACTCTGAATAATGGTAGTATTCCATCTGCATCTGTAGTCTGTATTAGAATTTTCAAAATACTTTCTTAACTTTTTTATATGATCCTCACAGCTGTGGAGTTCTGGTGTGGGGCTGTAGGTAAGCATTGGACCACAAGGTTGGATTGAACCACAAGCTCTCCAGTTGCTCCTCAGGAACCCTATCCAGGGTCACTATGAGTCAGGTTGACCTGATGGTACTGAACAACAACAGCTCTCCTGGAAGTTTGGCAGGGCAGGACACTCTTCCCAGGGTATGAAGTCTAAGTCAGACCTCCTGAGCCAGACCATGGCTCTTGCCCTGCCTCACAGAACAAGGGGGCACAGCTGGGTAGTATACCTGTTTATGGTCAGATCTTTTTCCTTCTTCTTCTTTCCAGTTTTCTTCCCAGGTTTTTTCTGGTTGGACACAAGTGTACAGGTGAGTGTTTTGTGGTCCTCCCTCCCCTGTGCCATGCCATGGGAGCCTAAAAAGCCCTCTTGGCCCCAGTCGTGGCCCTTCAGCTCACCTTTGGAGCCTTCAAGGGTCTTTCCTCCTCCCTATCCACCGCCAGACGCAGGTTCTTCAGTTCTTGCCGCATCAGCTCATCCACCTGGGGAGACAGGAGGGTGTGGAAGTGGCAGGACACCAGAGGGGTGAGGAGGGAGCCAGGGATGGAAGGAAAGAGATGAATCTCTGAGAAAAGCCAGACAAGTCCTGTGAAGGTGGCCAGGGCAGCGGCTCAGGCATCTCTATGTACTTTGGAGCCTTCAGCCATGCAACCCCTGGTCTGTATCCTGAGCCTGGCTCTCAGTCACGGAAGTGGGGAGAGTGAGGGTGATCCTTTTACCTGTATGCGGATCTCTACCTCCACTTCCTTCCTCTTTTCCTGTCGGAGGATATGAGAGTCAAAACTTTGACTGGGATGTGGACTCTCTTGGCGGTTCTTCCATAGCTCTGACAGTGGAAAACCAATGGAGGGAAGGTTAGAGTCCTAGGCCTATGTGTACACACAGACCTGTGAGCATGCATACACATTCATGCTTCATGCACAGACACATAATACACACATGTGTATTGTGCACACTAGCACATGCACACACAGGCACACAAGAATGCCCAGGCCAGGGACCTGACCCAGACTGATCCATGACTCCCCATTCCGATGTCTGGCACTGTTGCTGCTCAGACTAACCCCAGGGCTGTAACCACAGAAGTCAGATCTGAGCCTCTAACACCTACCACCCAAGAAATCACATCACATACATCCTTCTTCCCTTTAACATTATTCCCTCACCTCTGAATCATGTGGGAGGCCCCCACTTTCCCTGTAACCAACCCAGGGTTACCCCACGACTCCCAGCAAGATTTTCACTCCTCTTACTTATGTATTCCTCATGCCCAGCACTGATCATAGGTATAAATTTGGACGGCAACACTTGCAGCATATTATCCAAATCCTGGAATAGAAACATCCTTTGACCTTGACCCCATCACCTCGACCTACCACAAACTCTGACCTAATCCATACCTAGATCAGTTTCCCTACTGTGAATTCCCTTCAACTTTGTTCCTCCCTGCCCACTCATCCCCCATGTCCATAAGGCGTTTCACCCCCTTCTTGGCCTTTTCATCCTTCTTTTTTTTTTTCTCCTTTTTGTCTTCATCCTTGTTCTTTGTTTTCTCTTGCTCCTTTTTTTTGTTCTCTTGGACCTGCAAGTCCAGCTCCATTTTCACCTGTGACCAAAGACAGATGATGATGCAAAGATCAGAGGGTTTTATAGGAACTGGAGAACTCAGGGGTGGAGTCAGGACCCACAAGGCCTGACTAACTGATGGGGTTTAGATGACGGAGTCTGGAAGAAAACAGAACAAGTGAAGTCACGTTTAAGGAGAGGGGCTGTCTCTCTCTGGGCCTCAGATCCAGAGCCATAAAGAGTCTCTTCCGACATATTTACTCCCTCTGACATTGATACCTTCTCCAGCGACAGGTACCACCCTATCTCATCGTCCCCATGCAGCCTTCTAGCCACATACTTGTATTTCCTCTGGTTACATCTGCCTCCACAGACCAGAGCTGACCCCTTCCCAACCCACTTCCACTCTCAGCTTTATTCACTACTCTCTTTAGCCTCATGCTCAGCCTGCCCTGCAAAACCCCCTGTCATCACCCCCAGGATACCTGTTCTGGAGTCTTGTCTGCAAAGATCAGGTAGGATCCACCAGCAGATTCATCTGGATAATCAGGAAAACGGCCAGTAAGGGCACTAAGTGGACATCAAATGATTAGATCAGATGAGTGGTTACATAGTAAATGGGTGGTTGGACATGCAGATAGATAGTTCGATAGGTGGTTGGAATGATAGATGAGTGGTTGGACAGGTAAATGGGTAGTTAGGCAAAGAATGGGTTGTTGGACAGGTGAGTGGGTATGGTCAGGTAGACAGGTGAACAGACACATGGGTATATATGGTTGGTAGATTGAAGGATGGGATGACAAATAGGTAGAAGAATGGAGAAGGATAAAAGGACCACAGAGATGGAGGGAGAGGTGGAAAGAATAGTTACAAATAGAAAAGACAGGTTGCTCAGGGGCATTCATGGATGCCTTTCCAATGCTATCTAGCTCTTTCTTTTCCATCCAGGGAAATGGGGAATCATGTGCAGAAAGGGTACTGTGGTTACATCTTGGGGGCCAAGAATGTCATCTGTGTCGTAGGGAATGGGGTAGAGAAAAGGACCCAGTCTGAACTAGAGATTAGAAGAAGTGCAAGGAGAGGGCAGGAAAAGTCTCTGAGAGAAACTGGGGTTAGGAAGAAGAGAGAGATTAAGGGCTGGGTTGGCTGGGACAGAGGACACTAACTGGCACTCTATAAACCACTGTCGAATTTGTTCCTTCATCTTCTCCTTGATGTCAGGCCCTTCTGTGTCTATTAGAAAATCATGGGTTTGTGTCATGGCTAACTGGAACTCCTCCTCCTTCTCCGTCTGGCGGAGCCTCCGGACATCCTTCCCGAGGCAGGCTTGGGACAGGGTGCCCTTGTGCTCCATCTCATTGGGTGAGGGGATCTGGGGAATGGGAGAGAGGGGCTCAGGAGAGGGGAAGAGATGTCTCCATCCTACAGCACACACTCCTGCACAGAACAAGAGGTCAGTCTGCATGGGGAGAAATTGTGTTTGGAGCGGAGACACGTCTGTGTAAATTACTCCAATAATGAGTTTACTTGATGCATCTGGGCTGCCCCCTGCCTACTCCCCCGCACACCCTCCCCTGTGAGCCTCAGGCCCAGCCCCCACCGGCACCCCTGCCACCGGGCCACGTTGGCAGTCGTGCTCGCAGCCACTTTCCCGCCTCATTGGCTCCCAAATGTATTTTAAATATCACTCTGCGCAGACAATTACTGAAAACGCTGAGCTCACACTGTCGAGGGGCCCAGGCAGCTCGCTCCCTCCTCACCCACTGCTGGTGCTGTGGCCTGCCCCCACCCCCTCCCACTGGGCAACCCTACCCCCTCAGGCAGAGCAGCCCCCACCAGCTTTCTTCCAAAATCTCCAAGTCTCCCCAAAACACCAAGCATGGCCCTGCCAAGGTGCACAGTCTCAGGCCTGGCTGTTGCTAGCCTTTGGGTAGTGCCTTCCCCTCCAGTCCTTCCGGCTCCCCCAGCCTAGCTCCCCTAGCCCAGTTCCCTTCATCAGCCAATTAATTCCAGGGTCTACCTGGTGGGACTGGCCCCCAATCCTGCCATGGCCTTTGCTTCCAGGTCTGCAGATAAGAGTTAGGACCTCTTATCCTCAGTGAGCAGACCTCTCTCAGGTAGCAGTCAGGGAAAGGAGAGGAGGCTACACATCACAGGCATGTACATACACGCTCACAGGTAAGCACCACAGGTACACACATGTACACGTATAAACACATGTGAACACACATGTCATATAGCTGCACACAGGAGCACACTTGCACAAGTGTATGCACACACACACATGTGCATGTACATCAGGAGCTCTACACTTGTATGACTCACACACGACCCCCACACACTCACATCCCATCATAGGTGTTGAGGACACTGAGCAGTACTTTCCACAGAGCAGAGAAGAAGTGCTTTGGGGACTTCAGAGCAAGTGGGAAGACTCTGGCCAAAAAAGTCAAGTGCTCAGTCTAGGTGATTGTCCCAGAAACTGGCCCTGAGACCTCATCCCTCCACTGGACCCACCCTGTGGCCTCTTCTTCCAGTTAGGAGCACAGAGTCCAGGAGCCCTGGTTGCTACCCCTTGTCCCTCCCTTTCCACATTTTGAGATCCTTCAAAGGAGAAGGAAGGGGCAAAAAGGAACGAGGCTCAGAGATGGCTTTTCTGTCCTCCCACTTCTGAACCAAATTTGGAATGGCCTCTCCCACAGACCCCTCTACCCTTCTACCACTCACTTCATACCCACTCCCACCAGGTCCCAAGTGGAGGATGATGTAGAGGGGCCCTCACCATGCCGATGAACTCCATTTCTACCTGCCGATCCTGCTGAGTGCGTTTCCTCTGCAGGTAGCCTTTCCACACCTGGGGGTGGGGGTGGGATGGGGGCACAGGGCTCAGGGCAGAGTTCTTGGGCTCAGCCCTGGGAGGAGCACAGGCCTCTTAGGGAGGCTTAGTGGGCAGTGGGATGTCTTGGGTCCTCTCCATCAGGACTAGGGTGTTCCAAGGTGCACCTACAAAACTCTCATCCCCTGCTTAATCTTTGTAGCAGTCCTTTCCTCCAAAAAGGGCTGTTCTAGCCCACTTCTCAGAACATTATGGGATTTGGAACACATACTTGATTCCACCCAAGGGTACAGACCTTAGTGCTTCAGGGGCTGTGGTGACCCCTAGTCACTGCTGACATTTTCACACATGGAAACTGAGGCCAGAGATGGGACATTGCAAGAGTCTCCAAACCCTCGTACTCCCACTCTGTACTTCCAGCACTAGTGGGGGAGAAGGAGGCACTGGGCAGATTGCAGCTAAGCTCTCCCTCCCCATTGTTGCAGAGATTTTGGAACCGAGACAGGGAGGGTTTTAAAGGACAAGGTGGCCAGAAAGCACAGAGCTGGAGTTACCAAACACCACTTAGCTCATAGTTTTTCCCTTTACCTTGATTGCCAGGAGGCTCAGGAAATATTGAGTGGCACATTTTTTTAACAGTGTAGGGCTTCTGGAATGATCATTTGCTGTGTTCAGCTACACTGTTATGCATCCTCCCTAATTTTAATGATCCGTTTGTTTCTGGGGCTTTTACGATACCCACTCCAAATCCTCTTGGGGATGGAAATGCAGAATACATAATAAACAAATAAGACACATGTTTAAGGGCTGAATAAGGCCGCTATCCATGAGGAGTTTGGACTCATGTTTTGGGGAATAGAATTCAGGCCCTGAGCCCTTGTACCATGGCCCTGTGTAGGCTCCTCCGCATCCCAGGTTACCTTCTGTATGATAACCGATGCCTGGGCCGGAGTGTATTTATGTCTGCCGTCCTCCCGACTCTTCCGGTCTCGATCCTCCTCTCTCCGAATTTCCCGCATGAACTTGGCTCGGAGTCTGCCTTGCCGGGCCCGTTCAGCCCTTTGCAGCAGGATTATGGCCTCAGTTCGGTGAATTCCTGGAAATAACTGATGGGGCAAAGCACAGAAAGAGATGAGGTGGGGCCTAGAAGACCAGTCCACAGGCAAAGTCAGGCATCTGGTCGCCTGCCTTCTGCCTCCTGACCACCTTGGTACTAGAATGTAATCCTGAGTCCAAGAGCAGCCATTAAAAGAGCCAGAGGTCACTGAAAGGACACTCTGAGGTGGGTATGGGACACAGTTGGGTCCCTCTGTATGCTGCAAGGCTGCATCTTGGGGTGGGAGTGTGGGAAGAGTCTGGGGATGTTTCCCATCCTTACCTCCTCAGAGGACACTGGTTCCATTTTGGACAGGATCTCCATCAACATCAGCCCCCTGTCCTTCAGAATGTTGGCCTGCTCCAATAGGAAGTATTTGGGAATTGGAACCTCTAGATCTGCCTTTTGGGCAATGTGAGAGGAGGAATGTTAGGAATCAAAAGTTAATGCCATCTGGCTAACTCATGGCTGTTTTCAGTGACTCATGTAGTCTCTGGCAAAGTGGTCCTGAACCTTAGCGTCCTGGGTGGGGAACTCTTAGGCTATGGGCTGGTTCCTCTAAATGTCACCCCTCTCTGGATGGAGCTGAGTTCTGGAGGACCAAGTAGATAAGGGACCATGGTTTCGAATCCACCGTGCATCAGAATCATCTGGAAAGCTGTTAAAATTACAGATTTTAACTTAAGGCTACCCATTGGAAGCCCTATACAGGGTTGCTGTAAAATAACAAAGGCTGCCCAGGGAGTCCCTGTGTGGTGTAAATGATTAACACGGGCTTGACTGCTAACCAAAAAATTGGCCATTGGAGTCCACCCAGGTCTGGTCTGCTTCTGAAAGATCACAGACACTGAAAATCTTTTGGAGCACAGTTCTGCTCTGACACACATGGTGTCGCCATGAGTCTGAGCTGACTGAACTGCAACTGAGAAAATCCCCAGAGGACCCTCTCAAAATGATGATGCTTTTGAGATATGTCTTTACAAGTCCACAGTTGAGTCCGAACTGTCTGTGGAAACTTATTAAGAAACTTCCGGTGTGGGCTTGGAGCAGAACTATGTTAGGGGCCTGAGGCAGGACTAGGGACAGGCCTGAGGTATGATACTGTGATCTCCAATGTGACTGGGGGTACAGATCCCCTGAGGGCCTCATTAAAAGGCAGCTCTTAAGTCAGTAAGTCTGAGTTGGTGTGGGATCCTGCATTTCTAGCAAGCTCCAGGTGACGCAAACACCTCCACTCCACGGACTACACGTAGAGGACTCTCCTCATTGACCCCTGTGGCATGCCGGTCTTCCCAACCAGGAGCTCCAGCACCCTTTCCTTTCCGCACCCTTGTCTGAAGCCCTCCCGGAGAGACCAGGCAGGATGGAACTCAGCCCTCTCCGACCCGCCTAGATGCTTTCGCGTGCGGACGCTACTCCGCACCGGAGTGAGCTGGAGGTCCTGCAGCACGTGGTCCAGACAGCGGTACTCGCTAAGGTCAGCGCGCACCAGGTCTTCCTGCAGCTCCAGCACGCGACCCGCCACGCCGTCCAGCAGGCGCCTCAGTAGCCGCCGTTTCTGCGGCTGCACCATCAGGTCGTAGATGGTGTCCAGGCGGCGCAGCAGCCCCAGGTAGTACAGGTAGAGCGAGGAAAGTTGGTGCTGGAAGGACTGGCGTTCCCGGTCGGGCACGGGGTCTAGCAGGGGCTGCTCCTTCTCCAGCAGTTCCTGCAGTGTCACGTGGGAGGACTCCCAGAGGCTCTGGTAGGCTCTGGGGAGCGCGAGGAGTTGAGTCAGTCAGGGAAGAGTAAGGGAGTTGGAGACACATTAGCCCTTCACAGAGAGTGAGCCATGGGTCCCAGGGGGGTGAGGTCAAGCTTACACATGAGAGAGAGCCCAAATGAATGCCTAAGATGAGATGGGAGAAGGTGTGAGGGAGGAGAAAGAATGGTGGATGAGGGCTCCCTGCCAAGAAGGGACTTTCTAGAAGTCAGGGTGAGGGTGCCACCCAGAGATGCGTCAGTATTAGGAAGTGGGATGAGTATAAAGAAGGGTCACGTCCCCACAGCAGAGTCCTGGTTCTGGAATTAACAGTCCAAGGGAAGTTTGGGGAAAACAAGCTGTACTCTAGGCAAGGGCAGCCCATGGAAAGTGGCAGTGTGCCTGGGGTTCAGCCTGATAGGACAGAACAAGCTCTGTTCCGTGCTGCTTCAGTGCAGCCGGAGCCCCATTCCAGCACCTACTCACCCCTCAGACATGGCGCCCACTCCTCCTCCCACTGCCCTCAGTAAGCAAGCTGACTGTGGAACCCTAGCAGCCCCATGGTTCTACCCTGACTCCACCTCCAGGCCAGTACAGCCAGATTGCTAACATTCTACTTCATTGTACCAGTGTTCTAAGATGTTGAGCAGAGGACTGGAGGTTGCAGGGTGAAGTCCACTTGTCTTGGAGGCCATTCTTGAGACTGCGCGCAAAGCAAAGGGGGTTATTTATGGCTGCAGACTCGGGAGCAGGACTAGGGAGACCAGGGCACAGGGGAAGGGAGTTAGATAATTGATTGGTCTGGGTCTAAAAGCTCCCCACAAACCATGCTGCTCACTCAGGATAGTCCTGAGAGCATTAGCCCAACTGCAACCTTCTCTTTAATCCAGGTCCAGCGGTTTAAGCTCACCAGCTGCTCCTCAGAAATCCTATACAGGGTCACTATGGGTCAGAACCGACTTGACGGCACTTCGCAGCAGCAGCAGCAATGTGAGGGGGAAATGCACTGGATTTGGAGTTAGAGATGGTTCAGGTTCTTAAGTACAACCTCCCCGCCTTGGAAGTGAGCACAAGCACCCGTCTCACTGGGGTCTTACCAGGTACGAAACACATCAGAAAGTATGGCAGGTGGCATTTGTGCTTTTTCTGAGCCACCTGTGGGTTCCAGACTCAGGGGTAATACAAAAGAGTTCATCTGCCACAGCCTGACCCAGTGCTAAATAAGGACTTATGAATGAATGAGTGAATGAATGAATTAATTAAATGCATGCATGCTTGCAATGACCTGGACCCAGAAGATGGGGAAGGGAGGTAGTAGCAAGGAGGATTTAGAGAACTAGGAATTCCCTAACTTTAAATATGCATCTAAATCCCCTGAGGATCTTGTTAAAATTCAGATTCCGGTTTGATGGTGTGAGGTGGGTCCAAAACTCTGCATTTCTAACAAGCTTCCAGGTGCTGTAGATAATCTTGATTTACACCACCTGGAAGCTTGTTAGCAAGCACCTTGAATGCTAGCTATTAAGTGTCAGCCAGTTGAGCTGGTTCTGACTCATAGGGACCCTGAATAGGGTCTCCACTGAGCAGCTGGTAGGCTTGGACCTCCAACCTTGTGGTTAGCAGCCCAGTGCTTATTCTGCAGCACCTGCCACACCAGGACTCCTCGCCTTGAATGGTGAGGTATAAAACCAAGTGGTGGGGTGGGTAAATCAAGACTCAGGAACCAGGTTGCCTGGGCCTGCCTCTCTCTAGCTGTGCCTGAAATGTGGCTAGTAGGTTTCCTCTACGCATGGAGTCTCCTTATGAGGCTTGTCTTTTTTCAGATCCATGGGCAGCACATAGCACTGCACCCAAATGCTAGCCACCACTAGAAGGGGAAGCTTGTTCAGGTCATGGAGCTGAAGATGACAACCACCAAAGTCTATCCAACTATCAGCTGGTATCTGAACACTGAAGAAAGGTCTTTGTGGCACTGTGCCTAGTACAGTGCTTGCTACACCGGACATGAAAAATGGCCTCACAGTCGGGGACTGTAAGTAGGAGTTTCACTCAGGCCTGGAAAAGTGTTTAACAGTTGCAGCCAAGCCAGGAGTTAGTCCTCATGTCAGCCCTACCTCAGTAAGTGGCCCGTGACACACACACAGAGCACTTCTTAGAAAATGTGAGTCTATGCTATTATATCCCGCTTGTAGCGGCCACAGACAGTGATGCTGTTGGCCCAGGTAACATCCTCCCTCCACACACCACCACAGTGCACAGCAGCAGTTCACCATTTATTTATGCCCAGGCCTGGCTCATTTGGCGCTGATGTACTTGGTGACGGCCTTGGTGCCCTCAGACATGGCATGCTTGGACAGCTCCCCTGGCAACAGCAGGCGCACGGCCGTCTGCATTTCCCGGGAGGTCAGTGTGACGTGGCCAGAGTACTGGGCCAGCTGGGTGGCTTCTCCTGCCAGCCGCTCAAACACATCGTTCACAAAGGAGTTCATGATGCTCATAGCCTTGGAAGAGATGCTGATGTCGGGGTGCACCTGGGAGAAGCAGCAGGACCAGTGTATTAGCAAAGAGCTTAGCCTGAACCCTGAGACCTCAGCCTGGAGGTGGAAGCCAGAGACTGCACTGCAAGGCTTCCTCACCAGTTTCTTCCCAGAAGCCAAGGGACTTGTTTTCTATTTGCTACTATATCCAGGTTGGAACAACCAAAAAAGAGGTGACCATGTCGGGAAGGGCTGTCAGCATCTGTATTGAACAAATGGCATCGGTTATGTGTGCATCTTGCTTTTTCACTGGATGTACCTGACCACTTTTTTAATGAACATTAGGGTCTGTGTCCTGTTTCGATTCTATTAATTTTGTAATCATATATCCTTGAGGGCTCTTGTATAAGCATGCTTTGTTGTTATGTGCTGTCGAGTCAGTTCTGACTCATAGTGACCCTGTATAGGATTTCTGAGTAGCTGGTGAGTTTGAACCATCAACCTTGTGTTTGACAATTCAGTGCCACACAACATGGAAGGTTAAATTCTGAAAGGAAGGACTGATGGATCAAAGGGTCTGGGAAGGTGACTTGGTAGGCAATTACCAATTACTCTGTATAAAACATGTTCATATATGTAACTAGCAGTTAGGAGACTGAGTTCTGGCTGGCACAGAGCCACCATGTGACCCTTCAGTAAGGCTCAGTCTCCTACGCTATCACCCAAGCTTTCAAACTACGTGATCTCTAGAGAACCAGTTAGACTCTACAATGCAAGTGAGGGAGACGTTGTTAACTTCTTACATTACTTCTCAGTAAATGGGAGATGAATAACTGCAAAACTCAATCAGTAAATACAGCAGGGTAAGGTGGAGACAGTATCAGGACCCTTTGACTCCCAGGCCCTTGTTCTTCTCACCACCTCTGGTTGTCCCTGATAAAGAAACTTAAGGTGGTACAAGGTTGCTGTTGGGAGCCATTGCATCAGCCCACTCATAGCAAACTCATGTAAGAGTAGAACTGTCCCACAGGGTTTTCTTGGTTGTAATCTTTACAGAGCAGATTGCCAGGTCTTCCCAGTCACACAGTCGGTTTGAACTGCTAATCTTTGTTAGCGCTGAGCACTTAACCTTTGCACCAGAGTTGCTAGGTAACATGATGGTTATGTGCCGTGGAGTCGGTTCAGACAAATAGCAACCCTGCATGGGGTTTCTGAGGATATAAATCTTTACGGGAGCAGAAAGCCTCATCTTTCTCCCGCGGAACAGCTCGTAGTTTCAAACTGTTGTCCTTAAGGTTCACAGCCCGATTCGTAATCACTACGCTACCAGAGCTCCTTTGGTAACAGATTGTTTTTGTTAAGTGCCGTAGAGTCAGTTCTGACCCATAGCGATCCTGTATAGGGTTTCCGAGGAGCCACTGGTGAGCTTGAACCGCCGACCTTGCAGTTCAAATGGCTTTGCAGTCTGGCACATTAACCCACAGCAACACCAGGACTCCTGGTAACAGATTAGTTGAGCTCAAATGCCTTCTGTGGTCAGTAGAGCCTTGTCCTCAGGGAAGGTAAGTTTTGCTACTACTTAGATAAAGGGATGACTCCCTCCTGGGTCCTATCCTTGTTTACATTCATTTCTGAGCTCCCATTAGGCTAAGCTGCATGGCTCAGGTGCTCCCACCCTGCTCTACTTTTTCTGACAGTTGGGTCTGTCTTTTGCAGCTGCTCTTTTAACAGCACACATCACTAGTGGACCGCCCTGAGGCCTAGGCTGTCAGTTCATTCAAACTTCTGGTGAGACTCACACTGAAGACCTGGTCCCACCTGAGACCTAGCATAACAAAGGGAGAGAACCTGAGTAAGGGGGAGCTGAGTGGTTCTGCCTTTCCCAAATCCATCCTGCTGAATGAAGAGCAGTGACTGAGACCAATGATTTGGGCCCCTGCCTCTTGCTGTTAGATGGGTTATCAGTGCCCTCTGAAGGTTCCTCAGGATACTAAGTTGCAACAATAGGAGCTTCTCAGGCTGGGAGGAAACACACAGAAGCCCTGAGCCCACTGCTTAGAGTAGAACCATCAGGGCAAGTGACTGAGTCAAGCTTAAGCCTCTGTGGCCCCCAAGGCTCTCTGCTTGACTGGCCTTCTCCCTGTCACCGCCCCCCCACCCCACCCCACTTACTTGTCTTTACTAGGCTGTTGGGCACTTTTGTGTGGTCCCACTTAATGTTCCACACAACATTCTCATCAGTTCAAAAGCATTTTTAACTTCTGGGTGAGGAGGCGGCAGGGAAGCATGTTCTCAACACTTCATGTATATCAGATGTTCAACAAATACTGAGGTGCCAAGGCCTCCGGATCAAGTCTTGTTAAAACCCTGTACAGGGTTTTTGAGGAGTGCCTGGTGAGTTTGAACCACTGACCTTGTGGTCTGGTGCTTATCCTAGAGTGCCACACCAGGGCTTCTCATTATCAAGTCTAACCCCCTCCAAAAAAAAAGGTGGGACGTGCTTAAGGCCACTTTCTCAGTACCAAGACTTCTGTTCAGTGTCCTTTCATCCCCACACCCTTGCTCTCTCACCTGCTTGAGCACCTTGTAGATGTACATCGAATAGTTTTCTTTGTGTCGGCTACGCTTTTTGGACTTCTTATTCCCCAAACATCGGCCCCTTCGGTTCCCAGACTGCTGCTGCCGCCCTTGCTCAGTACTCATCTTCGGGTTTTTCCTACACTCATCTCCCTCCCCCTCCTTGGAGGCATTTTATGTGAATCAGCTGCCTCCCCAGGTGTGGCTAGGGGCAAGCACCTGGTGTAGAAGGGTAGGCCAGGCCCACCCTACCCAGAGCTCCCAGTTCAATCTTGGGCATTTGCTCTTCCACTCTCCAAGTAACTTCCTGTTTCTGGGTCAGAAATTCAACAGCCCGCCTTCTCCCACCTAGTCACCTCTCAGTGTGTTTATAAACTTCTTAAAGTTCACGTTGTTGTTGTGAAGTGCCATCAAGTTGGTTCCAACCCATAGCAACCCTGTATAGGGTTTTTAAAGAGCAGCTGGTGAGCTTGAACCACCGACCTTGCAGTTCAAACAGCTTTGCAGTCTGGTGCATTAACCCACAGCGCCACACCAGTATCCAAAGTTCACATACCACCACCAGAAGATTGATTACTTCATGTGCTGGGGAAGCATGGAAAAAACACAATGAGAAGAGAAAAAAGACTAAGGTGTGGGGGTGGTAAGCAAGCTAAGGAAGAGCTAAAAACAAAAACGCCAAAACAAGAGGGCTAGAGTAACCTGAGAAGGCTCCATTAAGATTATGGGGATTTTTAGTCAGTCTTGCAGGATAGCTACAATGTAACTGGGGAGGACCCAGAATCAATCACTCGGAATGGAACGGATAGAAAAAAGGTGCATAAAAGTCAGAGGGGTTTGAGCTGAAGGCAGAGGATGGAGCAAAAGGAGCCAAGGCTAGTGCTTAACCACGGTAGGCGGGCAAGAGTCTGGCAGGGAGGGGGTTTCAAATGAAATGAACTGGGAGAAAAATCGATGTGCTCTTGTAAAAGCAGGTGGTGTGTGTGGAAGGTAAGGCCTTATTAGATGGGGAACATCAAGTTGTCTTGGCACCTGTGTGTATTCAGATTCTTGGTGGTTGTGAATAAAGAACCCTAGAGCAGTGACTAGTTTGTACAATTATGAAACATACATCTTCACCTAGATCTGACAATCTGGGTCCCTGGTCCTATCTTACATGCTAAACTTTAAGATGACTTGTTGTTGTTGTTGTTTAGTGCCGTTGAGTCGGTTCCGACCCATAGCGACCCTGTACAGGGTTTCCGAGGGTATAAATCTTTACGGGAGTAGAAAGCCTCATCTTTCTCCCGCGGAGTAGCTGGTAGTTTCGAACCGCTGACCTTAAGGTTCGCAGCCCGATTCGTAACCACTATGCTACCATTCCAAAATAAGGTAGCGTTTTTGTTCTTAGGTGCCACTGAGCCAGCTGACTCATAGTGCTCTTACACACAACAGAATCAAACACTGCCTGGTCCTGCACCATCCTTGGAATTGTTACAAGGGAGTTCACTCCTGCTAACCACTGTCAAGCCATCTCTCTTTTTTCTGACCCACTACCAGGCATACTTCTGAATATTTAGTCACTGAAAACCTTATGAATAGCAGAGAAACACTGTCAGATATAGGGCCGGAAAATGAGCCCCTCAGGTTGGAAGGCATTGAAAATGTGACTGGGGAAGAGCTGTCTCCCCAAAGTAGAGTTGACCGTGATAACGCGATTGTAGTAAACCTCGTGGGACAAAAGCCCACAGGACCTTCATTGGCTGATGGGGCACAACTCAAAATGAAGAGAAACAGCTGTAAACACCCATTGAAAATCAGAACATGGAATGCAATTAGTGTGAATCTGGGAAAATTGGAAGTTGTCAAATATAAAATGGAACGCATAAACATTGATATCTTAGGCATTAGTGAGCTGAAATGGACTGGTATTAGCCATTTTGAATCTGACAACCACATGGTTTACTATGCTGGGAATGACAAATTGAAAAGGAATGGTGTTGCATTCGTCGTCAAAAAGAACATATTCAGATCAGTCATAAGGTATAACACTGTTTGTGATAAGGTAATATCCATGTGCCTCTAGGGAAGCCCAGTTAATACCACTATTATTCAAATTTATGCACCAACCATAAAGCCAGTGAGGTTGAAATAGAAGAATTCTACCAACTTCTTCAATCTGAAATTGATCAAACATGCACTCAAGATGTATTGATCATTATTGGTGATTGGAATGCAAAGGTTGGAAGCAAAGAGGAAGGATCAGTAGTTGAGAAATAAGGCTTTGGTGATAGAAATGATGCTGGAGAACACATGATAGAATTCTGCAAAACCAATGATTTATATATATCTTTTTTAGACAGCATAAGAGACGACTATACACATGGACCGTGCCAGACAGAATACACAGAAATCAAACTGACTACACCTGTGGAAAGAGACAATGGAAAAGCTCCATATCATCAGTGAAAACAAGGCCAGGGGCAGACTGTGGAACAGATCATCAATTACTCAAACTGAAGCGGAAGAAAATGAAAACAAGTCCACAAGAACCAAAATATGACCTTGAATATTTTGAATATAAGATCATGTGAAGAACAGATTTGATACACTAAACACTAAACACCGAAGACCAGAAGAATTGTGGGATGACATCAAGAACATCATACATGAAGAAAGCAAAAAGTCATTGAGAAGACAAGGAAAAGGTCAAAATGGATGTCAGAAGAGACACTGAAACTTGCTCTCCAGCATAGAGATGCTAAAGCAAATGGAAGAAATGAGGGGGTCCAAGAGCTGAACAGAAAATTTCAAAGATCAGCACAAGAAGATAAAGCCAAATATTACAACAAAATGTGCAAAGATCTGGAATCAGAAAACCAGAAAGTAAGAACATGCTCAGCATTTCTCAAGCTGGGGGAAATGAAGAGAAAATTCAAGCCTCGACTTCCGTTATTGATTCTCTTGGCAAATTATTGAATGATGCACAAAGCATCTAGAGAAGATGGAAGGAATACACAGAGTCACTGTACCAAAAGGAAATGGTTAATGTTCACCCATTTCAACAGGTAGCATATGATCAAGAGCCAATGATACTGAAGGAGGAAGTCCAAGGTACATTGAAGGCATTGGCAAGGAACAAGGCACCAGGAGTTGATGGAATAAAAATTGAAATCACTCAAGAAAGTGAGGCGGCACAGGAGGCACTCACTCATCTCTGCCAAGAAATTTGGAAGACAACTATCTGGCCGACTGGTTAGGAAGAGATCCTTATTTGTGCCCATTCCAAAGAGTGGTGACCCAAGAGAATGCGAAAATCATCGGACAATCTCTTTGATAGCCCATGTGAGTAAAGTTTTACTAAAGGTAATACAGAAACAGCTACAATCATATATTGACAGAGAACTTCCAGAGGTTCAAGCCAGATTCAGAAGAGGCCATGGAACAAGGAATATCATTGCTGGTGTCGATGGATCTTGGCTGAAAGCAGAGAATATCAGAAAGATGTTTACCTGTGCTTTATTGACTATGCAAAGGCTTTCAATTGTGTGGATCATGATAAGCTATGGAGAACATTGCGAAGCATGAGTATTCCAGAACACCTAATTATGCTCATGAGGAATCTGTACCTGGACCAAGAGGGAGCTGTTCGAATAGAACACGGGAACACTGAATGTTTTAAAAATAAGAAAGGTGCGCGAACTTTCTTTCAGAAAGGTTGTATTCTTTCACCATACTTATTCAACCTGTATGCTGAGCAAATAATCTGAGAAGCTGGGTTATATGAAGAAAAATGTGCCATCAGGATTGGAGGAAGACTCATTAACAACTTGCGATATGCAGATACAACCTTGATTGCTGATAGTGAAGAGGACTTAAAACATTTACTGATGAAGATCAAAGAGCACAGTCTTTGATTACATCTCAATGTCAAGAAAACAAAAATCCTCACCACTGGACTAATAAACAACATTCTTATCAATGGAGAAAAGATTGAAGCTGTCAAGGACTTCACTCTTCTTCGATCAACTATCAACACTCACGGAAGCATCAGTCAAGAGATCAAACGATGTACTACTGCATTAAGCAAATCTGCTGCACAACACCTTTTTAAAGTGTTGAAGAGCAAAGATGTCAGCTTGACGACTAAGGTGTGCCTGACCCAAGCCATGGTATTTTCAATAACCTCATATGCATGCGAAAGCTAGACAGTGAGTAAGGAAGACTGTAGAAGAATTGATTCTTTTGAGTTACAGTGTTGGAGTAGAATATTGAAAGTGCCGTGGGCTGCCAAAAGAATCAGTAGATCCGTTTTGGAAGGAGTGCTCCTTAGAGGCTAAGATAGCCAAACTTCACCTCTCATACTTCGGACATATTGTCAGTAGGGACCAGTTGCTGGAGAAGGATACATTTGGTAAGGTGGAGGGTCAGAAAGAAAGAGGAAGACCCTCAATAAGATGGACTGGACAAGTGGCAGCATCAATGGACTCAAGTGTGGCAACAGTAGTGAGGTTGGCCCAGGATCAGACATTGTTTCGTTCTGCTGTGCATAAGGTTGCTATGGGTCGCTACCAACTCAATGGCACCTAACCACCACCAAGCATAAAGGAGATCTGGTAGCACAGTGGTTACAAATTGGGCTGTGAACCTCAAGGTCAGCAGTTCGAAACTACCAGCTGTTCCGTGGGAGAAAGATGAGGCTTTCTGCTCCGGTAAAGATTTACAGCCTCGGAAACCCTGTACAGAGTCACTATGAGTCAGAACCAACTCCATGGCACAAAACCATAACAATACACCAAGGATTATGTCCTCCAGGGATTGGTCCCTTCTAATAACATCCGTTGTGTAGGGCTTAAGTCTCGCCATCCTGGCTTCTAAAGAGCATCTGGCTGTACTTTTTCCAACAGATGTTTTTCTGGCAGTCTATTTTTAATATTCTTCTTCAACACCATTAACTCAAATGCATCAATTCTTCTATGGTCTTCTTACTGTCCAACTTCCACATGTGTATGAGGCTATTGCAAATATCATAGCTTTTGTCAGGCGTACTTTAGTCCTTAAAATTGATGTCTTTGCTCTTGAACAGTTTACAGAGGTCTTGTGCAGATTTACCTAATGCAATACATCATTTGCTTTTTTGACTGCTGCTTCCTTAAGTGTTAGTGGTGGATCCAAGCAAAATGAAGTCTTTGACAACTTTCATCTTTTTCCATTTATCACATTATTTAAGGTCAGCTCGGAGCGTAGTGGATTACCTTTTTGAGGGGTGCCAACTACAATGTCAATAGTTCCAATCTACCAGTGTCTCCTCAGGAAAAGGATGAGGCATTCCGTTCCCATAAAGATTTACTACCTTGGAAACCCTATACAGGGATCACGGCGTCATAACTGACTTGGTGGCATACATCCATCCACGACCACCATGCAATTGGTTCAGTTGTAAAGATTTTTGTTTTCACTATATTGAAGTGCAATCCATTCTGAAGGCTGTGGTCTTTGATCTTCAATTTTAGACATTTGTAGATACCTTTTAGGCTTCTTAATCATTCTTGAGATTGGTTGTTTATGTTTTTTGGAAAATAAGCTGATAAAACTACTTCCTGACTCTGAAAACCTCCAGACCACTAGCACACTGAATACAGCCCTGTTCCTGTGACCCCAGCAGCTCACTTTTCTGAATACTCAGGACAGTCTGACTGAGGCCATTTTGCTCTTGGCATCACTTAACTAGAAAGCCAAAAAGCCCAGCAGTGTCAGAACGACTAGGAACAGATATGTCATACCTTAATCACGCCGACTGTCTGCGTCTCAGTTTAACCCTCTTACCAGAAGTCTCTTGCTGTCCCCTCTGCCTAGGACAACTCTTGGCTCTCATTTCCTTCCCTTTTGACTACTTCTGCGGGTCATACCATCATAATCTAAGCATCTTGTTTGTGTTTTGTCCTTTTCTTTAGCCTTATTGAGCTCTCCTGGGTGCTTGGACTCCTTGGATTTTTGTAACAGTCTTATATTGGGGAGTCATGACTAGGATGTCTACTGAGGTTTGGGAAGTGAAATGTGCACTGGTCTGCCAAATAGCATACAGAGGTTTTACATTCCTGTTCAAGTTAAAAAATAACCTGACAAGCTGTGCAGACACCTGGGAGTAACTGGGTGGTGCTAATGAAAATTAAGGCTGTGAATAACTCAAATAATTAAACTCCCTGTATTCTACTAAGAACCAGTCTACAAACTTCAGTGTGCAAATGAAGACTCCTAGCCATCTCTGCATCTCTCCCACTAATGAACCCCAAAACCTGGAGCCCAAGGATCTGCACCATTAGCTAGTGAGGAGAGCCTCAGCCCACTACCCATACCTTCTCTAGATTTCTCAAAATGTGGCTTTCCAGTAGCACCTGGGACCAAGTTAGATGTTAATTGCAGGACCCATCCCAGACCTTCAGAACCAAATCCATGTTTTAGCATGCCTTCTAAGTGGGGCTGACCAGGCCCCTAAGAAAATAGTTTCAAACTAGCACACAGGAGAGAATGTTCTGGACTGCTGGGCAATCACTCTCTATACCAAGCCCCTTTCATCTTCAGTCCACATCCATCCCATGGCTTTCTCCCACCCCAGCTCCTACTGAAGGGAAGGTGAATGTTGGGTACTGGAAAGGGGAAGGGAAGAATGTTCCTGAGACCTGAGAAGGAAGGTAGGTACCATGGCTTCTTCTCTCTTTATTGGGTGCTTTGTAGATGTCACGCAAGTCTAGAAATTACAGTTAAATAATGATTTAAAAACTGACCAGGACTAAAGTGCTGGTCCAGAGCTCCAAACCAGAAGCGGAAAGGATGGTGGTGGGGCTGGGAGTTTTTCCTCCAACATCTCCAAAACCCAGAAAACAAGGATCCTAAGCTCCTCCACAGGCCAAATCCCGGGATTGGGCCCCTGGGCTATCCCTCAGGTGCCTCTGGCTACATCACTACCCAGGTAAGGTAAGCCAGGGGCTGGAAGGGAAGAGGCAGCTGAGTCCAGACATGGACAAAAATAAGTGGGAGGACAGGAAACGGACAGGTACTGTCCAGCTGTAGATAAGAGTGCAGCTAAGGCAGGTTGAGGGGCAGGGGAGGCTGGGGAGCAGTATTGCAGCAATGCAGGAGTGTAGCCCTGGGGTCCCATCCTGAGTGGCTGGTCAGGGTAGCATCTGTTAAGTCCCCAGTGGAACTCCTGACCCAAGTCTGGACAGAGGGCTCACACATTGTGGGTCCTCTTGGTGAGCTGGGGTTCCTCGTCCACCAGCTTGGACTTCAGGTGCTCCTTGTAGGCCAGGATGTCTCCAGGCCACTTGGTGATAGTCTGCTTCTCACAGACCCAAATTTCCTGTGCCACCTGGAAGAAAAATCAGACACGAATTCTGATCAGCCTGCCCTCCTCCAACCCTACTCAAAGGACTGTTTTGAGGAACTCCAAGATGTCTTCTTCTGGGTGCTCTCTGTGGGACCTATCCTGGCCAGGCCCCCTTACCTGCTGAATGAGTCTGAAATCATGGCTGACTAGCATCATGCCACCCTCAAATTCATTGATGGCGTCAGCCAAGGCATCGATGGTCTCGATGTCCAAGTGGTTGGTAGGCTCGTCCAGGAAGAGCAGGTGTGGGTTCTGCCAGGCCAACCAGGCCAGGCACACACGGCACTTCTGCCCATCAGAGAGGTTCCGGATTGGGCTCACCTGGTGGACCCATGGCAAATATACAATCACTGAGCACACCATAACTCTGTCTCCTACACCCTGGCTCCTCTATTAGCATTACTGCCTCCTTACATAGTGAGGAGCAGAAAGGCCCAAGACCAAATGGGGGTATAGCCGCTCATCTCTTATGGACTGAAAGGGGAAACTGAAGCCCCTGCCATCACAAAGACCATACCTTCTTCCCCTGGCACAAAAGTCTTAATAAACTGGAGCAACCCAGTGGTTCGTCAGTTCCAGATCAGAATCCAGGAATTTGTTTGATAGTCTTTAATTTCACTCTCTTGCCTATATGCACTGTGGCTCCTCTTGCTTTCTGCTCTCCTGACTAGAACCCTCTGCCAGCAGCATCCTTGTGCATCCTGTGTAAAACCTCAGCACTACAGTGCACAACCCAGATAAGCCTGAACTCTTAGATTCCCCTTATCCACAGCTGTCCAGGACTAAATCCTGGGTGTCTCTTTCCTCCCACCTATAGCATAAGAGAAACAGAAAGGATCTACAATTTCTTAGGGGCTGCAGTCAAAAGGAGCAGACTTTTGTGGTTGCTTCCAAACCTGGATTGCTAAGACAGTGTCCCAAGATCCACCATGCCAAGGTTTCCTGATTATCTGAGTTTCTACCCCATATCCTGCCCACTGACCTGCTGTTTCCCAGTGAGACCATATCGCCCAATGATCTTCCTCATTTCTTCCTTCTCCTTGATCTCTGGGTAGCACTTCATCATGTACTCCAAAGGAGAGAGATCTAAATCCAGCTGCTCTTGTAAATGCTGCAGGAAAAATGGAGCCCAACGGGTAGGACAGGTGTCCTGCTGCACCAAAGGAAGCCTGCTCTGCTACCTGCTTAACACTTTCCAACTCCACCCCAGGGCTTAAGAGGCTGGGAAGAAACAGTGCTGCCAACCATAAGGTCAGCAGTTCAAACCCAGCAGTCACTCCCCAGGAGAAAGACATGGCAGTCTGCCTCCACAGAGATTACAACCTTGGAAACCCCATGGTCCACTTCTGTCCTCTAGGGTCACTCTGACTCAGAGTCCACTCAACAGCAATGGGTTTACCCCAGGGTTTGCTGCCGCCTCAATGTGGTGACCCAAGGGGTCTAGGCACTTGATCAGGATTCAAGAGAGGAGCTAACTGGACTGGGGTCTCTCTGGGTAGGCTGCAACTTGGACACCTCCCAACTCTGTACCTGATGGTAACGCCCTATCTTGACATGAGAGTGTTTTCGGATCATTCCATCTGTGGGTAGTAGCTAGGGAAAAAAAAAAAAAAAGGCAATGGAACAAAACGCAAAATTATAACAAAAAGAACCAAGCTTACTGGTCAGATAAGAGTCTGGCGGAATCCAGAGACTATGGCCCTTGGTCACCCTTCAGGTCTGGAACTGAACTCATCCCTGTAGCCAAGAATCACATAGGTATATGTGGGGGACAACACTAGTGACATACATCAAAAAATGGTTAGACGTTCAAGATCCAAAGGGCAGCATTTACCCAAGGACAAAGTTCAGAAGGGTTGGGAAGTAGAGAGGAATGGAAACAAGAAACACAAGAACAGTGAAATGAGTGACGGTACATTGAGGGAACTGCAATCATTGAGAAGAAACGTGTGTGATTTGTTGAATGTACAGCTGTGAACCTTCACTCAATTCACAATAGAAAGTTCAAAACAAAACGAAAAACAAGTGGACACACAGACACACGCAAAAGGAAATCCTAGAAGCTGACACAGGCAGAGTGGAGAAACAAACGTGTTCATTCTGAACAAGACTAGCAATTTCCTGAACAGAATACACATCACCAATCACAGACCACTCTTCTGGTCAATCTAAAAACAATTAGGAAGATAAACCAAATATGTTTTCCAAGAGACAAAGGTATGTGCAATTGTTGTTAAATGCTATCAAGTTGGTTCCAATTCAGCAACTGTGTGTAGTGTTTTCTGAGGCTTTAAATCTTCTAAGCAGCAGAAAGCCTCATTTTCCTCCCGAGGAGTGGCTGACAGACTCAAACCGTGGGCCTTGTGATTGGCAGTACAGTTGTGTATCATATGGAGCCACCACACTCCCCAATTAACTATTAGATTACTGCCTACAAAGCCCTATGGGGCAGTTCTAGTGTCATATAGGGCCGCTATGAGTTGTAATCAATGGCACCCAACACCACAGAGTCCTGGTATGATGCTGTAGAATAGTACTTAACTGCTAACCACAAGGTCAGTGATTCAAACCCTCCAGTCACTCCCTAGAAACCGAACACATGGTTGCTATGAGTCGGAACCAACTTGATGGCACTTAACAACATCATCATCATCAGAGAATGCACTACGCTGTAAAACAAAAAACTTGGAATGTAGGCACAATATATGTTTTCTAAAATACTTACCTGTAAAGGTACAGATACTACTGTTTACTGAGTTCTTTGAATGAACATGCTGTACAAAACCAGCAGTGTCTGAGTTCACCCAGCCCCACAGCCACCTCTTCTAGGGAATAGTGTTCTAAGAGCAGTGGTCCCTGCATGGCAAGCCTCTTCTTTGGGCAAAGCAAGCACTTATTATTGGAAGTCACTACACCCCAATGTGGCACCATACCTCTCCAGTTAGCAGTTTCAAAAGTGTTGACTTTCCTGCTCCATTGGGCCCTACCAGAGCCACTCGTGTGTCAAGGTCAATACCAAACTCTAGGTTGTTGTAGATGCAAGGCTGCAGTGGGAAGTAAAGAAAGAGATGTGAACTTGACAGCAGACTACTGATCTACTCTGAGAGCCCTGAGCCCTGGTCACCACTGGAGGTGGTAGTGGTGAAAATGGATGAAGGGGGCAGCTCAAATGGCAGAGTCCACTCATCACATCCACCTTGCCACCTCAGTGTGAGTGCCTGGCCAGTGCACCCCAGGTGCTATGTCTGCAAAATCCATCTTACCACAAGAGGATTAGTATGTGTGGTCACCAAAGGACAGACACCTCCCAGCAGCTGATGCTCCTCTTGTAAAACTCACCATCATTCATGTATTTTAACACAGACACTCTCTGGCCTAAACTTACCCCATCTTTTGTATACTTGAAGCTCACATTCTGAACCATAATGACTGGTGGAGGGATTTTGCCACATGGTGGGAAATAAAACGACAGTGTCTAGGAAAAGGAGAGGATACAAATATAAATTAAGGTGGTTGCCACTGGGTGCTGTTAATAAGTCAATTCTGACTCAAAGGCACCCCATGAGACAGTGTAGAACCCCCCTGTGGGGTTTTCTAGGCTGTCTTCTTTATAGGAGTAGATTGCCAACTCTTTTCTCCCATGGTGCTGACAGTTGAGCATTTAACCACTGTACCACCAGACCACCACATCCACCCATGGACTCTCACCTTGTCACTAACAACCCGCTCTGTCAGTCCTGATGCCATCATTTTTTGTAGTGTCTTCTCCTTGCTCTGGGCCTGCCGGGCCAGCTTGGCACTGCCATGGCCAAACCTAGCAATGTAGTTCTGAAAGAGACCAGAAAGGGTAGGTGCTGCGTACCAAACAACCCATCTTTAATCCAGGGTAAAAACGATGGCTATAACTTACTCGCAATCTCCTCTACACTAACTCCCCAAATACTCTCATCCAACATTACCTTCATGTGAGCAATTTGGTCCTGCTCCCAGTGAAAACGTTTCATCTGGTTTTCCTCCAGCTCTAGTCGTGTCTTCACGTACTGGTCATAATTACCCTGAGGGGAACACACGAAGGGGCAGGGTAGGGGGTGGGATGGGTGAGGCAGCAGCTCTAGCCCATGTGTCAGTCCTAGTATGCATTCAGGAATTTAGGAGATGGCCTAAAATCTGAGGCCTTTAAAATGCTTTGCCTCTCAGTCTAAACCTGGCCATAGTGGGGATCCAAGTCAAATCCTTAGGCTAGCCTGTAGGGTGAACACACATCATACATGTGTACAGGCTGCCAGACTATGGCCTATGATCTGAAAGCAATTACTTTGGGACTAACACAAAAACAGGCTGCAGGACTCCTGTCCATATCTTTTTATATGACAGAGTAGAAAAGGGCTGTCTTTTTTTTTCTTTTTATTGGGTCTACTCACCGTATAGTACTTCAGTTTCTTGTTGTGCATGTGAATGATGTTGGTACAGACACCATTCAAAAAATCCTGGGAATGAGAGACGAGGACCAGGATACGCTTAAAACTGCAAAGCCAAAGAGTCAATCAGGGGAATGCTCACAAGCAAGAGACATATCACAACAGGTGAACCTAGTCAGACTCAGAAAGTCTCCATCCTTTCTCCTCCTTAAACCTGAGTATCTTTAAGCTTCACTGTCCAATTCCCAACTCTCAATAAGAACTGAAGCCACAGTGTATAATCTGTCTGTAAGGATGCTTTGATGCCTTTCAAAGAGTGAAGACACAGTCTTAAAGAGTTTCCCTGATCTTCTTTTCAATTTCCAACAGAATGGAGGAGAGGTCAGATGGTCAAAAGAAAAATTCTGTACATAAATATATCCATGTGTGTACACAAAACTGTGGTGGGAAGGCTCCGCACAAGCACAACAGAGGACACCAGGCTTTTTTGAAAAAGAGTAGTTGTAGCTTCTTTAAAAGTTGGTACAATATAGTTTGTAGCTACAGAAAGAAAGGCTGCCACCATCAAGGCTATTTTTTTGTCATTATGTAATCTTACATTACAGTTCCCTTTGTGCCAGGTATGTAAACACAGTAATAACAAGGTTGTTTTCAATAAAGATGTTCTATTGAAGTATATTATAGTTTCCCTTTATGTGATGTATATAAACCCAGTTAGAAATAATAAAGTTGTGCTCAATAAAGATGTTTTAGTTAAGTATGTTGCTGGTATTGTTAAAGTGCTGTTGAGTTGGTTTCAACTCATAACAACACTATATAGGGTTTCTGAGGAATGACTGGTGGGTTGACATTGTCAACCACGTGGGACTAGCAGTTAAGTGCTTATCCTATACTATCACATTAGGATTCCATTTAAGTACAGGGTAACAAAAAAAAAGTCAGTAATGTTTCAGACTATAAACAAAAAATGTAAAAAATGTCAAGCTTTAGGTGTTGACCACTTTTTTAATCAAGCCTTCACTCTCGCCGTACTTCAGTTTTTTCTCATGGTTCTAGTCATCAGTGTGACTTCTGGGTATTCACTCCCTTTGGACTCTGCTCAGCTGCCCCTCAGAATCTCCGAACTCCCATCCCTTATCCCTGTGCCTCCTTACGTCTTGAGTTCTTCTTCCAACCACACACAAGCATCTAGGTCCAAGTGGTTGGTGGGCTCGTCCAGGAGTAACATGAATGGCCGAATGAAGAGGGCTCTGAGGGACAGGAAAGGAAACAGAAGCCATCTCAGTCTGAAAAGTGCTGAGAAGGGACCAATTTGCTTGCTACATGAAATTCTACTTAAGCCCTAGGGAAGCTCTGGTATCAATACTGGATTCTATACTTCAAAAGGAAAGGGATAACTCTGTGAGAAACCAGAGCTGAAGAAGAGATTAAAGGGTAGAAAAATGGTTTTAGAGGCACGGGGATGATTTAGTTTGGCAAGGTTACAAAAGGTCCTTAGGAGTCTGCAAGTCTTTGACAGTAAAGTTGGGGACCATGAGGAAGATAAACGGAAGGGGCTTGTCTTTCAGATTTCTAACTTAATAGGTCTGTAGGACAGCCTGAGAAACTGGGATTTTTAAAAATCCCCAGGTGAAGCTGACACAGTGAGTGAATCCTTGGTAGCACTTAGGAACTACTGCTCCAATGCTGTAAGGCATACAGGTACCCTTCCAAAAGCATAAGGTTATGTTGGCTCACCTATTTAGCCAGGTTGGGGGATTATGGCACTCACTTTGGGTCCCAGTCCCAGAGGATATAAAAGACAAGTCATTGTACGGGTCATCTAATATTGCTATTTTTAAAAAGTGTTTTGTGAACTGAGCAAAGCTTTGCTGAGCAGATCATCATTTTTACATTTAACAAATTACATACAATTTATCTCAATCCTCCCTCAATGTAACGTCACTATCCCACTTTCTGTGATTCTTGTTTCCATTCTTCCTTCTTTTCCAATCCTTCTGAACTTTGTCCCTGGGTGAATGCTACTGCCCTTTTGATCTTGAACGGCTAACCATTTTTTTGATGACTCTCACTAGTGTTGTCCCCCTCATATACCTATCTATTGCTTGTCTGAAAATGTGGGTAAGCCCCATTTTCCAGACATGACGGGTGACCAAAGGCCAGAGCCTCAAGGTTCTACCAGTCTGGTCATCTTTATAATACACTGTGCTAGACACCCAAAGAACCCACCCTGAGCACTTCTGGCAGAAAGTTCACCACCCAGTACACTCCTACCACCCTCTTACTTTGTCCATGTCTGTGCTCATAAAAAGCTCCCTCATTTGGCACGTGTTGGTCACTGACCCCATTCTAAACTATTCCACTAGAATGAGCATTCAACCCTGAAACAGATGGGAATGTTGCCAGGAGTGTTGTGGGCAGGAGGGAAGAACTCACCTGGCGAGGGCAACTCTCATCCTCCAGCCCCCACTGAAGTCTTTTAGTTTCTTGCGCTGCATGGCAGGTGTGAAGCCCAGTCCATGCAAGATCCGTGAGGCCCTCATCTCTGCCTTGTCAGCGTCCAGCTCCTCTAGGCGCTCATACAGCTCCATCAGCTTTTCACACTCCGCTGTGGGAGCAGAGGACCATGAGCCTCCCCTGGGCCTTCCCTGGAGGAGCCTGCACCTGCCTCCCCTGGCTCTGAGTCCTACCATCCTCGTGAGCCAGTCGCTCAGCCTCCCTCTCCAGCATGGCCCTCTCTGTGTCCACTTCCATCACACACTGCAAGGGTGTCTTGTCACTGGGGGGCATCTCCCGAGTCAGATGGTAGATGTCGATGTGCTCGGGGATGGGCACCTCCCGTTTTCCAATAGCCGAGAGCAGCATGGATTTTCCTGAGAGGGGAAGCAAGAAATGAAGAAGAGGAAACACCATTGGTTCCCACCATTCCCCTATAGCAAGGACCCAATTCCAGTATTCTACCATCTTGATTGAGTACCCTTACTTCCTTTCATTCATTCAAATGTTACCAACCCCCATTATGGGAAGAGTTCCCCAACTTTCCTCCAAGTTTTGTCCTACCTCCTCTGTGAAAGCGCACACAGCACCACCATGCCCCTCCAGCACCTATTCTCTGTACCTACTTACTTGGCACTTATTATAAATGCTCTACATTGTTACTTTCTTTTTCCTGGGCATATCTGATCTCCCACTCATACTGTAAACTCCTTACTTTGAACACAGCAGGTACTAAATAAATACTTGTTGAGTGACAGAGAAGTGAAGGAGAGATACCTCCCACCTTGCCTTCCAAGGGCCTCACCAATTCCATTTAAGCCAATAAGGCCATAACGTCTGCCTGAGTTTAATTCCAGTTTTGTGTCACTGAGCAGCTCTTGACCATGAAAGGTAAGTGAAAGGTTGATAATGTGGACGTCAGTACTGTTGGGGTGAGAAGCTAGGACACCGGTGACAGCTCGAGCAGCAGCTTTCTTCATTTCAAAGTTCTCTAATTCCTTAGTCAGCAAATCCAATTCTGGGGACAAAAAAGCATTTTGAGAAAAGGCCTGTAAAACAGAGTCAATTCTACACAAACAGATACATCCTTAAAGGACCTGGGCTTGAGATCATGTTGAGCAGACAAATATTTAACAAGCTCTAAACAAAATACGTGTTATGTACATATATTCCCTAATATGTTTCCTGAAACACTTTTACTTTGCAAATTGTCTTTTTCATTCTAAATTCTTTTTCTTAGATGATATAAATACCAAAAGGGAAATGTCTAGACACCTACGTTAACCTCTATGAGTATGTGATAAAGAATTAGCTTTAAAGTCCAAGACAAAGCAGATACTACAGAGATACAATTATTTTGTTCCAGGACATAAAGAGCTTCTAGTTGGTGCTTTCAAGAAGTTATAACGCAGTCCACGATGACAATGTTCTATATCCTTGGTGGGTAGAGACTGTAGTCTCAAAAGCTTCTGAGTACCCATCTAAGATACAACTATTGGTGTCTTTTTACTGGACAAAGAAGAATGTTGAAAATCAAAGACACAAGTAAATAATTAGTCGAAAGGGCTAAAGGTCCACACAAACCACAGGCTCCATGACCTCAAGGGCAGATATAGATGGTGCCTGGATGCCACTACTGCCCACTCTGAATGGAATCACAACAGAGGTCCTGGACAAAGTAGGAGAAAAATGGACACAAATTAAAATCACAGACAGATCAAACTTACTAGTCTGAGAGACTGGTGGAACCTCCAGTATTATGGCCCTTAGACACCCTTCAAACCTGGATCTGAACCCAATCCCGGAGGCTATAAAGTGAACCGTCTACCTGTGAGGAATACCTCAGGCAAAACCACCCAACTGTTTGAAATAAAAATGTCAGTACCTGCCAAAAACAAAGGTCCGAATTCATGAGGGGAATGAGAAAAACAACAACAACTTATTATGCCACCCAGAAGGAATGGGTATGAGAAAATGTACAACACACAGACAGGAAAACCAAAAATACCCAAATTGAGAGGGTTACAGAAATGCAAACTGACCATGTGAGATAGGGGATTACTTCTATGATTTTTCAGGCATGCCTTCAACCTTTAGGCTAGGAATAATTATTGACATCAATGACTAATATTTACTGGTTAATATTTATTGAATTTGCTGTGCTTGGGACTATGCTACATGATGCTTTACTATCTAATTTAATCCTCATAACCCTTATGAAACACACCCTTTCACAGACCCTATTTTACAAATGAAGAGACTAAATAATGGAGTCAGGGTCAAAACGCGGAAGTGTGGTGTCTCAGTAGGATAAGCACTGGACTATATGAGCCACAAGGTCGGTGGGTTGAGCTGACAGCCACTCTGCAGGAGAAAGATGAGATTTTCTGCTCCCGCAAAGGTTTACAAGCTTCGGAAACTATACAGGATTGCTACAAGTTGGAACCAACTCCATGGTCAAACAGCCAGTACACAACAGAACCAAAATGGGAATCCAGGTTTGTCTAACACCAAAGCTGTATGTTTAACTATTTTACTATGTTACCTTTACATAAAGGATAGTACCCACAAAGCACTTTCAAAGCAACAGAAATGGGATAAGGAAACTTTGATAAGCTTTGTACAAAAAGGAAGGTGATCAGAAACTACATGCCAGGTTCCACTATTGTGAGCATTCTGTCATTTATCACTATTCTTTTTATCCTTATCTGTTTTCCTCAGTAGTTATAGTTGTTGTTGTGAAGTGCCATTGAGTAGTTTCAAACTCCTAGCAACCCTGTATAGGGGGTTCCAAGGAACAGCTTGTGAGTCTGAACTACAGACCTTAAGGTTCAAACCGACCTTGTGGTTCAGTACATTATCCTGCCACACCAGGACTCCAGTGAATATAGTGATAGTGGGATTATAGTGATACAGCAACCCTGTATAGGGCTTCCAAGGTTGAAAATCTTTATGGGAGCAGAAAGCCTCATCTGGCAGTTTTGAACTGCTGACAGTGAGATTAACAGCCCAACTCGCAATCACTACATTACCAGCATGATTACAGTTGTTGTTTTTGTTAGGTGCTATTGAGTCGACTCTGGCCCATAGCGACCCTGTATAGGGTTTCCAAGGAGCAATGATTAGAGTAGAAACCTTAAAATGAGAAAAATCTGTATGTGCGTCCTCAGGAACAAGATACATGGGGTAGTAAAGGGAAGAGGGTGCACAGCTAGTCTTGGGTAGAACAACTTCAAGGGACAGAGTGTGTGGCCACGGTGAGCCTTAGGTCATGCTCTGCACATCCTGTTGTCAGGAGATTGACAGAGTAAGAGCATTATTGAGCCTGCCATGAGGCCTCATACTCTGCCTGCAAGGAGCCAGGTCTGAGGGTAGAGATTGTACCACCAGACAGATGGCAGCCAAAGTACATTTCCTCTTTATCCACCTCCAATCCCAGCACAGTGCTTTAAGTGCTTGCTGAGTGCTTTTTGACTGAAAGGCATATAAGGGTCAAGTTGAAGAGATAAAGTAAGTCTTTTCTATACCACAGCCCACTTTGTTCAGCCGCTAGGAAGGGAGAGTAGTGAGGAGCTTACGGTCAAGATCAGGGGTTATAGTAAATTTTTTATATAAGCAAAATTGTAAAAAACTTAAGTTTTGTGAGCCAAATGGTGAAACTATGGCAACCATATAGGTGTATACACAACCATTAAAAATTTAAGAACCATTCTTAGTTTGTTGTTGTCAACTGCCATCGAATCCGTTCTGACCCATAGTGACCCTGTATAGGGTTTCCGAAGAGCAGCTGGTGAGCTTGAACCACCTACCTTGACTACATCTGTGGAAAGAGACGATGGAAAAGCTCCATATCATCAGTGAAAACAAGGCCAGGGGTAGACTGTGGAACAGACCATCAATTGCTCATATGCAAATTCAAACTGAAGCTGAATAAAATGAAAACAAGTCCACGAGAGCCAAAATATGATCTTGATTATATCCCAGCGGAATTTAGGGATCATCTGAGGAACAGATTTGATACACTGAACACTGAAAACCAAAGACCAGAAGAGTTGAAGGATGACATCAAGAACATAATACATGAAGAAAGCAAAAAATCACTGAGAAGACAAGAAGGAAAAGGTCTAAATGTATGTTAGAAGAGACACTGAAACTTGTTCTCCAGCGTAGAGATGGTAAAGCAAATGGAAGAAATGAGGAGGTCCAAGAGCTGAACAGAAAATTTCAAAGATCAGCACAAGAAGATAAAGCCAAATATTACAACAAAATGTGCAAAGATCTGGAATCAGAAAACCAAAAAGGAAGAATATGCTCAGTATTTCTCAAGCTGGGGAACTGAAGAAAAAATTTAAGCCTCCACTTTCATTACTGAAAGATTCTCTGGGAAAATTATTGAATGATGCAGAAAGCATCAAGAGAAGATGGAAGGAATACACAGAGTCACTGTACCAAAAGGGAAATGATTAACGTTCAACAGTTTCAACAGGTAGCATAAGATCAAGAGCCAATGATTCTGAAAGAAGTCCAAGGTGCATTGAAGGAATTGGCAAGGAACAAGGCACCAGGAATTGATGGAATAAAAATTGAAATCTTTCAAGAAAGTGAGGTGGCACAGGAGGCACTCACTCATCTCTGCCATGAAATTTGGAAACCAACTATCTGGCAGACTGATTGGAAGAGATCCATATTTGTGCCCATTCCAAAGAGAGGTGACCCAACAGAATGCAGAAGTCCTCAGACCATCTTTTTGATATCATGTATGCGAGTAAAGTTTTATTAAAGGTAATACAGAAACAGTTACAATCATACATTGACAGAGAACTTCCAGAGGTTCAAGCCAGATTCAGAAGAGGCCATGGAACGAGCGATATCATTGCTGATGTCCGATGGATCTTGGCTGAAAGCAGAGAGTATCAGAAAGATGTTTACCTGTGCTTTATTGACTACGCAAAGACTTTCGAGTGTGTGGATCATGACAAGCTATGGATAACACTGTGAATATGAGTATTCCAGAACACTTAATTGTGCTCATGAGGAATCTCTGTTCCTGGACCAAGAGGCAGTTGTTTGAACAGAACATGGGAACACTGAATGGTTAAAAATTAAGAAAGGTGTGCGACAGGGTTGTATTCTTTCACCATACTTATTCAAACTATATGCTGAGCAACCTATATCTGAGAAGCTAGGTTATATATGAAGAAAATTGTGGCAGCAGGATTGGAAAACGACTCATTAACCACCTGTGATATGCAGATGGTACAACCCTGCTTACTGAAAGTGAAGACGACTTGAAATCAAACGACGTATTGCATTAGGGGAATCTGCTGCACAAGACCTTTTTAAAGTGTTGAAGAGCAAAGATGTCAACTTGAGGACTAATGTGCACCTGACCCAAGCCATGGTATTTTCAATAACCTCATATGCATATGAAAGCTGGATAGTGAATAAGGAAGACCGTAGAAGAATTAATTGATGCTTTTGAGTTATGTTGTTGGAGAAGAATACTGAAAGTGCCATGGGCTTCCAAAAGAACCAACAGATCTGTATTAGAAAAAGTGCAGCCAGAGTGTTCCTTGGAGGCCAAGATGGCCAAACTTCGTCTCTCATACTTTGGACACACTGTCAGAAGGGACCAGTCACTGGAGAAGGATATCATGTTTGGTAAGGTGGAGGGTCAGAAAAAAAGAGGAAGGCCTCCAATAAGATGGATTGCAGCATCGATGGACTCAAGCGTGGCAACACTAGTGAGGTTGGCCCAGGATCAGGCAGTGTTTCATTCTGCTGTGCATAAGGTCGCCATGAGTCGGTACCAATTCGATGGCACCTAAAAACAACACCTTGTGGTTCAAACCAATCTTGCAGTTGAGTGCTTATCCTATAGCACCACACCAGGACTCCTTGGGAAGGCTTAAAAAACAAAAACAAAGGAACAGGTCAAATCTGGCCTACTACTTGATTTTGTAAATAAAGATGTTTTGGCTCTGAGGGCTTTATGATCTGTTATTGGAACACAGCCACACCTATCATTTACATATAATTTATGGCTGCTCTCTGCTACAAAGGCAAAGTTGAGTAGTTGTAATAGGAGTCCTGGTGTGGCACTGCAGGATAAGCACTGAACTGCTGACTATCAGGCTGGCAATTCAAACCCACCAGCCACCCTTGGAATCCCTATACAGGCTCCCTATGAGTTGAAAGTGACAGAGATCATAAAGCCCTTAGTAGCAAAATATTTACTTTACAAAAAGAGTTTTCTGGCCCCTGGTCTAAATATCTCCACCTGCTTAGGCAAAGGGAAGTTCAAAATTAAGGGAAAGTTATGCATCATATTCTCTTGCTCGCTTCTAGTTTATAGCACACTGGACTGCAAGGTTGGCTTGAACTGCAAGGTCAGCGGTTCAAGCTCACCAGTCACTCCTTGGAAATCCTATATAGGGGTCGCTATCAGTTGGAACTGACTTGATAGCACATAACAACATGACCTAACTGAAATCATCTGGAGTAAACTTGATCAGAGTTTTGTGGACCCCACTATTCCACTTCTACTCATCCTGCTCAGCCATTCCCATCAATCTTAAGTTCCTGGGCCAGGAATAAAACTTCCCCATAGACTTTTTTTGTACTGGCCTTCTCCAGAACCCTTATTTTAGAAATAATTTCTAACGTTCAATTCTTTCCTCTTAATTATTAACTCCCCCTTTTCTCAATTTCTAATGGTCCATCCCCTTTGATAGCTCAGCTGGTAGAGCGAAGGACTGTAGACAAGATGTGCTTAGGTATCCTTAGATCGTTGGTTCGATTCCAGCTTGAAGGAGGTGTACAAGTATTGGAATTCTGGTGTGGCACTGTGGGTTAATGCGCCAGACTGCAAAGCTGTTTGAACTCCAAGGTCGGCGGTTCAAGTTCACCAGCTGCTCCTTGGAAACCCTATACAGGGTTGCTATGGGTCAGAATCAACTCAACTGCACTTGACATCATAACTTGGAGTCCTGGTGTGCGCTGTGAGTTAATGCGCCAGACTGCAAAGCCGTTTGAACTGCAAGGTTGGTGGTTCAAGATCACCAGCTGCTCCTTGGAATCCCTATATACAGGGTCACTATGGTTCGGAACCGACTCGATGGCACTTAACAACAACAATCATAACTTATATTACGAATTTTCTGCAGGGGACAATGCATCTATTTATGTGTCTACCTACCAAATCTGGTCATACAAAAAAGGTATTTACCCAAGACAAGATCTTTTCACTCAAAGATAAAACAATTTAAATGAATAATAATTAAAAAAACAAATGACACAACATTAAAAAGGTTAAGTAACATATGGAGAGGCTTCAAAAAGTTCACGGAAAAATTACATTATCTTTTCATTCCATTTTTCCATGAACTTTTTGAAGTCCCTTATATATGACAGTATAGGAATTACTGTGAGGAGAGTTGAGAGGTAGAAAGAATAGAAATAATATTGAATTTGGGTTTGACTGGGAAAGCATAAAAATATGCTGACTATCTGAGGGGCAATTAATAATCTGGATGGAGCAGAAGGTCCATCAGTAAGTTTTTGGTGGGTAGATTAGAAGGATGGGTTTGGATTGTCAAGGGTCTGGAACATTCTTTACCATATTTACCATCTACATTGTTGTTATCTAAGGACAGGCCGTTGTGTATAGCACGATGCCCAACACTTGAGAAATACTCAATAGTTTCCAAAATAAAAATAACAAAAAGGCTGGTGTGGCGCTGTGGGTTAATTGGTTTGTACCGCAAGGTTGGTGGTTCAAGATCACCAGTTGCTCCTTGGGAACCCTATACAGGGTCACTATAGGTCGGAACCAACTTGACCACACTTAACAATAACGTTACTTCCGTTAATATAGTCACTGTCACTGGGAGAACAATGGCACAATATGGCAAAGAGCCTGGTACACCAGCTGCCATGTGAAACTGAGCAAAGGGTAGGGGAAACCCAACTCCTTGTGATCTAATAAGGCAGCGCAATAATTTCCATAATTGCTTGCCAATGACTTTAAGAGTCCTGTGTTGAGTTTTCTTGATCAGTAACAGGGTGGCACACCTCTGCCTCTACTGGTTTGGTTAGCATGAAAAGTTTGGTGGCAGCCAATTATAGTCTCCATTGCCACAGCATCGGTATTCCTACTCTGCAAAGAAAGGGCAGCAAAAGGTAGAAAACATCCCAAGAACCCACCTCTCCCTTAATTCACCTGTGGTCTCACTGCCATTGGACTCTTCGTTTTTCTCCTCTGCCACCTGTGGTTCTGTGGCTGCATCTCCATTTTCTTCGTGTCCCTTTCTGGGCCGTTGTCGAGCTTTAGCAGCTTCCTTCTTTTTGGCTGCCTTCTTCTTGGCCAGGTCAGAGGGCATGGTGATGAGCCACAGGTATAGGTCACTGTTCCTTCACGGAGCCTGGAGGAAGGCAAACAGACACTCCAAACTGTAGACAAACTGCTAAGGAAGCCTGGCCTCTACTCCATGCCTCTGGGATTTTCCTATTGGTGTCAGCACGCAGCTCCGCCCCTGCCTAGTCTCTCCCAACTTTTGTCAGGTTCTCTCGAACCGATTCCGGAGATCCTAAGCGCTCTCCTAAACTTAGCAACTGTTCTCTCAGGCTTTGTCCACAGAACCTCAATACACTGTCTCACTTTGAAAACGCTCCTTCTTTCGGGACTTCCAGTTAGATACTACGTTCTGCTTCTCAGCACGGATCCCATCTCCGGTTCCCCCGTAACTTGGCTCTCCGCACCAAGCCGGCCGTCTCACTTACTCAGGCTGCCTCCTAGCTCCCTGGCTCGAGCCTCCTTTCCCTCGTGCCCCCTCCACACTACTCAGCCCCCCGGCCCGGGCTCTTTCCCGGCAACACGCGTCCTCCCACAGGAGTCCCCCAAAGGTCTCCTCGCTCGCTAACCTGAGCCTTTACTCGCGCCCATCAGCTTCTCTCTCCCTAAATCCTTTCTTCTCCCCAGAAGCCTCCTCATGCCAACCCCGTTCCTTCTCCTTGCCCTCATTCTCACCAGCTGGCACCCTTCCTCCAGCGCCCCTTCCACGGCTCACAGGGCCTTGCTGCTTGGCCTCTGTCGCAACAGAGCGGCCTCCTTTGCTCCTCCGCGTGCGGCCGGCTCGCCAGCCAATCACGGCCTGCGGAGGCTCGCGGCGCGCCTTCGCGAGGACTCCTGGGAAGTGTCGTCCGAAAGCGGAGCAGCGGCTGGCGAGGCAAAGCCCTTCCTTAAGAACTACAGTGTATCCCAGGGCCTCCGGCCTGTCTGACGTCATTAGAATGCGCGGCACTTTAAAGGCTGATGTCCTAGAACTCTGCCCTAAGGCTGACTGCGCTCTAGAAAGTGCAGGTCCCAGATTGCTCCTCGGTTAAGCGGGCTGGATCTTTCAATCTCTATTCTACTTCCTAAAATCTATTGAGCTATGTAAGGATACGGAATTGATACGGCCTTCCGCTCAACCGGCCCAGTCAGCCGTGAGGGCGACTACACTACCCAACATGCCTCACGTGGAATGGGTCGAGACAATGGGGGCGAAAGGAGGAGGGTGGGAGGAATGTAGGAGAAGAAAGAAGAGAGCTGTGACAAGAGAAAGCGAGAGATTGAGGAGAAAGCATCACTACGAAGATAATCCTGAGAACAGACTTCCTCTGTGATAAAAAATGTTTCACTCTTTTTATGAAATGTAACTATTAGAAGGTTATCCTTGAACCCTGGCCGCTTCCCCACCAACTCCAGAAATGTTAGCGTTCAAAGTCTAATAGGAAGATTCCGTAAGTAAAAATAAGGCCCCTTTTTTAAGTTTTAACATCGCTTAATCATGTTGCTTTGTCCAAGTTACTTTTATGAATCTCACTGTTTAAAAATCTCGCAGACTTCCAATTGACTTGTGATTCCAAAATTTGCAGCATAGGGCAAGGTAGGTCCTTTGTGCTACTTCAAACTCAATGTTCAGTGGTACCTTACCTTCAGACACAATTGGAGGACAAGCAAAGGAAGCTGTTTCTCTGGTAGCATAGTGGTTGCGAATCGCAAGGTCAGCAGTTAGAAACTACCAGCTGCTCCGCGGGAGAAAGATGAGGCTTTCTGCTCCTGTGAAGATTTATAGCCTTGGAAACCCTGTTCAGGGTCGCTATGGGTCAGAACCGACTCTATGGCACTTAACAACAACAGCACCCTTCAAAAGTTGCCCTTTGCACCCTCACTTACTTGTTTTATTGTTAATTACCATCAAATAGGTTAGGTATCACTATGGCTGTGTAGTAAATTTAGATTTGTTCCTGGGGGGGGGGGGGGGGGGAATCAGTTGTTTTCCTCTACACTAATAAAGACAGCTCTGAAAAGGAATTAGGAAACCAATACCATTTACAATAGCCACCCAAAGGATGAAATACTTAGAAATAAATCTAACCAGAGAAACGAAAGACCTGTATAAGGAAAACTACAAAACACTACTACAAAACCAAAAGAAATTATTTACAAAAATGGAGGAATAAACCATATTCCTGGATAGGAAGACTTAACATTGTGAAAATGCCAATACTACCCAAAGGAATTTAGAGATTTTAATGCAATCCCAATCCAGATTCCAAAACATTCTTTAAAGAGATGGAAAAACTATGCCAAACTTTATATGGAAAGGAAAGAGACCTCAGATAAGCAAAGTACTACTTAAGAAGAAGAACAAAGTTGGAGGCCTCTCACTCCCTTATTTTAAAATTTACTACCCAGCCATAGTGGTCAAAACAGCTTAGTACTGGTACAATGAAAGATACATAGATCAATGGAACAGAGTTGAGAACAGAGAAGTAAATCCATCCACATACAATAAACTGATCACTGACAAAGGACCAAAATACATTAAGTGTGGAAAAGGTAGTCTCTTCAACAGATGGTGCTGGCAAAACTGGAAATTGATTTGCAAGAGAATGAAACCAGACCCATATCTCAAATCATAAAAAAAAGAACTCAACATAGATTAAAGACCTAAATATAAATCCCAGAACTATAAAGGTCAGCAATGAAAAAATAAGGACTCGAATACATGGCATACATAGACTATCAAACATTGCAAAAAACACACAAACAATAGAAAATAAAATAGATGACTGGGACATACTAAAAATTAGAAACTTATGTGCATCAAAATATTTCACCAAAAGAGTGAAAAAGGAACCCACAGACAGGCAATTTTTTTTGCAATGACATATCACACAGGCTAATCTCTAAAATTTTTTAGGAAACTACAACACCTCTACAAGAAAAAGACAAATAACCCAATTAAACAATGGGCACAGGACATGAACAGACACTTCACCAACAAACATACGAAGAAATGTTCACGATCATTAGCCATTGGTGGTGTTAAGTGCCGTCGAGTCAGTTTCGACCCATAGCAACCCTGTATAGGGTTTCCGAGGAGCATCTGGTGAGTTTGAACCTCCGACTTTATGGTTCAAACCAACTTTGCAGCCCAGCACATTAACTCACAGTGCCACATCAGGACTCCATTATTGTTGTTGTTAAGTACAATGGAGTCGGTTCTAACTCATAGTGACCCTGCACAGGGTTTCCGAGGCTGTAAATCTTTACCGGAGCAGAAAACCTCATCTTTCTCTCACAGAACAGCTGGTAGTTTTGAACTGCCGACCTTGAGGCTAGCAGCCTGATTCATAACCACTATGCTACCAGAGCTCCTTAGGACTCCATTAGAGAGGTGCAAATCAAAACAACAATGATATATCATCTCACACCAGCATTAACAGTGAAACTGAAAAAAACAAAAAACCAAATGCTGGTGAGAGTGTGGAAACACTCCTGTATTGCTGGTGGGACTGTAAAATGGTTCAATCACTCTGGAAAATGGTCTGGCGCTTCCTCAGAAAGTTGGAAATAGAAATCTCGTATGACTTGGCAATCTCTCTGCTTGGTGTATATGCATAAGAAATGCATGCCAGAACAGGAATAGATCTATGCACACCATTGTTCATTGCAGCACTATTCACGATACCAAAAAGATGGAGATGGCCTAAGTGCCCACCAACAGAAGAATGGAGAAACAAACTTTGGTACTTACACCATGGGATACTATATAACCTTGAAGAATAACACTGAAGCTGCAAAAGACCTCATAACATGGACATTATACTGCATGAAATTAGTCAATTACAAAAGGACAAATATTGCATGAGACCATTACTGTAGAAGCTTAAGAGAAAAAAGTGTAAGAAACAATTTCTGTACTAAAACATTTTTGACAGTTATCAGGGGTGAGGAGGAGGGGAGAGTAATATACAAGATAGGGGTGTATTTGGGTAATGGGGGAGGTCAACATACAAGGAGGGAAAGGGCAATGCATAAGAAGAAGGAGGGTGAAAGATGAACAATGAAGATAATAGAAGACTTAGGGAGGTATGCATGGGTTAAATTGGATAGAGGTAAATAGTGACTTATACACAACCTTGGAACAAAAGTGTTCTGTGATACAGGGATTGAGGCATTAGTCCGAAAGGGTAAAGGAAGGGAAAACAGTTTAGGGACTTGATTGTCTTGTGGATATTAGTTTTCCCTGCCTCCTATTGTAAAATAGACATTTAAGTGTGATAGGAATAAATATTACAGATAGGAATTATGATTACAGAAAGCTTGTAAGCTTGTCTTCAGCCTATAACTGATTGGATTAGCTAAATGGGGAATTAGAATTTGCCCAGGAAAATAGCCTTCTTGTGGAGTATGGGGCCTTACACGGAATCCTCAGCTCTACCTGGAACCTTCTGAGTTGGGACATTCCCACTTGAAGTGACATGCTGACCAATCCAGAATGGCTAGAAGAACAGAAGATACTTTTTGAAAGAAAGACCAGCAGAAAAAAAGCAGACGGTTTGGCTGTTAGAATACCAAGCAAGGTGTTTGGGGTGGAGGCATCAAGGCAAGAAAAGTGAGTCCATCAGGGGAAGCCCTCTTCTAAAACTGAAATTCAAAGGGAACCCACAAACAGTCTAGTATGCTTGCTGGTGACCACCCGGTCTGATTTGAGTGGAAGTGGGAGAAATGCAGCAGTGAAGACATGCTGAGTTTGGCCATGTTCCATTGACACCTGTTGACTTTGAGATGACAGAGAGAAGAGGAAGAGCTGACTGGTCTGAAATTTAGGGAGATATGTGAACACCTGAGCCCATGGACACTGACCTAGCCACTGGGAGATAGAGCTAAGAGTGAAGTGGCCAGCTGGATTGAAGTGTGGGGAAGGGTGCATGAACTCCAAAACTTGCAGATAGTAGTACCCATTTGACCTAACATGGATAGCTAGCTGACTAGAACGTGATCAGAAGAAGATAAAGAAGTTTGATACTGTGAGAAGTGTAAATTGCTACAATTTGATGAACTAGATCTTTGCTTATGGATTCAGTTGCTGAAAATTCCAACTAAAATAGAAGGATTCTTCATATCAAAGAAGAAGCTTGCTTCCTCAGTGAACTGGGTTGATGGTGGCAGGCAATTTAGACATTGGCTATCAAAAGTGGGGCCTTTAAAGGCATGAAGTATCTGGTTTACAAGCTTTCATTCGTGTGCTTAGTTTCAGACTGAGGTGGGTAAGGTAGAATTCCTACTAGTTTTCGTTTTTTCCAGATGGATCTGGTGAAAGGGGATGGGGGATGATGGTGATAGGATTTTATGATTCAATTATGAGTAATTGCTATCAGGATTAATTGTGATTGTTATCATTGTAATTGTAGAAGATATGTAACTAAAGGGCAGAGTAGTTAATCATTCATTTCAGGGACACAGAACCCCAGGACCATCAAGAAAGAAGAGTATAAATGTAGCATGAGATTCAATCCAAAAAAGCTACAACAGCACCCTAATCAGAGAAGAAGTGACACCAGAGATGGAGGCAGAGGTGATAGCATGGAGAGGCAGAGCAGCTGAGGGCTCTAGACTCATGGAAAGAGAAAGGCTGTGTGCTGGTGGCCAGGAGGCAGGCTGCAGAATATGCCCTTTGGTTGTTTAAATGATTATATCTTTCTGAGTGTTTTTGTGTACATAAAAAAACAAAACAGAGGGAATAGAACAAATAATGTTAAATGATGATATGTGGAAGGGATTGTAATCATTGCAATGAAACAAAATACAATAGGATGAGTGAAAAACCAATGTTCAAATAAAGCAAAACAAAAGTCATAAATAATAAAAGATTGTTAATGAAAAAAAAAGTGGCAACAGCATAGACAGTGGCAGAGGCAATGGCATAA